TGTGGTTAAAAGGATTAATCAGTGAATTAGGTTATTTACAGCATGTTGTTACTATTTTTTCGGATCGTCAGTCGGGAATCCAGTTATGCAAAAACCCTGTATTTCATGATAGAACCAAACATATTGACGTGTGTTTTTATTTCATACGGGATATTGTATCTTAAGGAATTTTAAAATTAGAGAAGATTCTTTTTTAGTATAACCTATCTGATATGAGTACTAAAATTTTGTTTGCAAATAAATTTGTATCTTGTATGAAATACATACATTGTGATAACTTTGATTAACCTTGTACTACTTGAAGTAATAGGTAGGCTAAGTTAATGTTTTTTACTAATATTATATCTTATCATTTTGCAAGTAAATATATGAGCGATGATGTACCCCATCCACTTGAACAAAAAATCAGGTGGAGGACTTTTTGTCCTAATGGATCCACCCCAATTATAAATACAATCACACTTAATTAGCAGCCCAACAATCCATGGCCCTGGCTCACTTCTCAGATCCATGACCCGAGCCCATGCCTTGACCCGCACCACTTACCTTAACCCGGGCCGCGAACCGCTGCTCCGACCCGGCTCTTGGATCCGCGTCTTTTGGGAGGCTTCATCTCCCCCGTTGGATCTAGGGGTTGCATCTGAGCCGTCCATCCTATTACATCTTACCTATATATTGAGTGAGAGAGAGAGGATTCATTCGATACATCCACTTCCTTTCTCTATAATTGTTTTTCTCTCTAGCCTCCTCTCTCCCTCTCTCACTCGTGAACTTTTTTCCCTCTCTAGCCTCCTCTCTCCCTCTCTCACTCGTGAACTTTTTTCCCTCTCTAGCCTCCTCTCTCCCTCTCTCACTCGTGACCTCCTTTCCCCTATGTTCCTGCTCTGGATCGTCGCTCTATCATAGGTTATTGTTTTTTTTTTGGGAGTTCCCTTGTTTCTTGGCGTAGCAAGAAACGAACTCTTGTTTCTCGCTCTAGTGCAGAGTTTGAGTATCGTGCTCTTGCGAATTCGACTTCAGAGCTCATTTGGCTTCGTCGGCTTCTTTTTTATCTCGGGGTTCCTCAGCCTTCTTCCACTTCCCTCTATTGTGACAGCACGAGCGCAATTCAGATCTCTCATAATGATGTCTTTCACGAGCGCACCAAGCATATTGAGATTGATTGTCACTTTGTTCGTCAGCATGCTCGTGCAGACACTGCTCATCTATCTTCTGTCTCTTCCGAAGATCAGACAGCGGATATCTTCACCAAGTCTCTTTTCTCAAGCCGGTTCTCTACATTGTTGAGCAAACTCAAGTTAGTTTATACTTTATCACCTTGAGTTTGAATGGGGGGTGTTAGCATATTTTTATATATTGCTATTTGGGGCCTACGTATATATGTCTATATATATGCACTCTCTTTTTAGGTTATAATTTAAATTTCTATTTTTTGCAAATATTCAAGAATTTATAAAAGTTAGAAATATTTTAGTATTTATATATGAATTACTTTTACTATAATGAGAAATTGATATATTTAAGTAAGAAGAAAATAATAAAAATAATATTTTGAATTGGAATAAGGGTGTCAAAATTAAATCCAATCGGAAATATCGAGCCGATTCGACCTAAAATTTTTTAGGTTTGGGTTTGGGTATTTCGGGTTTGAAAAGAATTGGGTCAATTCAAACCCCACACGAGAAAAATTCGTGTCATGTTTGGGTTAGGTCAACTTGAAAGAATTCGTGTCGTGTCGTATCGTGTTCGAGTCTAGGATTTCGGGTCAAATTTTGGATTCGAATCGGGTTCAAGCTGACAATTTTATATTACTCTTATGGTTCAACCCGACACGAACACAATTCGAAAATACGAATTGACACCTTTAAATTAGAATAGACAAAATATATTTTTATCGGAGAATTGGGAAATTTCTTAATAATATATATATATATATTGTAAAAAGAAGATAATGAATAATGTATGGAGGTGGGAATGGGGTTTTAATATTTGTGTTTTTATTGCTAGAAATAAAGTAAACAGTTTGTAGGCATTAAATGTGGTCCATGTGTGCATTCAGTAAACCCAACAAACTCACTCATTCAATTAACCAATATGTCACAACAAACAAGATATATTAAATTTGATAATACTCTAAAATATATATATATTTTCATATTTTTTTTTTTTTGTGAGAAATAAATATATTTGATGTAATATTTTTCTTAAAAAAAAAAAATATAACAGTGTCAAACATCCAAAATTGGTGTCTAAATAAAGCCTAAAGCTTTGCAACCAATGTATATATATACAAATTGGTGCTGATAATTTGCTATAGTCACCACATGATATTGAAATTAATTATAATCAGTATGCATTGTGTGAATTATTTTTATATATTCTCAATTCATATAATATATTTATATTATGTTAATATATGTACTCTATAAATTATTATTGTATATGATATCAGTTTTTACTAATTAATTTGTTTGTGTTATGTTAAGATATGCACATCTTATATTAAAATCATCAATCATGACATGTATCATCAATTCATACCTTGTCTAGTGAACTTTTTGTATAAAAATAATAAATTAAATTTTGATGTTTTTGAAATAAATAAATAAATAAAATTAAAACAGTAAAATCTATCCCAAAAACTCCAAAACCAATAACCACAGAGAGTGTGCTTACTTGTCATATTATAATTATGGTTTTAGTTTTGGTTTTGGTTTTGAATAATAAAATTTTGAATTGAAATAGTTGTTTGATGTGATATAATTATGTATTAACGTGATATTTTGAATGTAAAATTGGATTTTAATGTAATAAAATAAATAAAAATTGGGTACTCCCTCCGTCCCACCACAATTGACACTATTTTCATTTTTTTCTGTCCCGTAACAATGGACACATTTCTATTTTTGGTAAAAATTATTAAACAAAAACATATTTAACAAATATAAATTAACTTAATTAACTACATAACATACCACATCATAAATGACTTAGAATCCACTCAAAACCCCTTTATTTCTACCTCTCTCCTAAAAAAAAAAAAATATTTTCTATATTTAAAACTATATATCTTTTATAAAATTGATTTATGTTTCATTATAAATAAACAAAAATATTTTTTTATTTACTTGTATTATAGAAAATTTTATTCTCTACAAAATGATATTCATATTGCATATATTTTTAAATTGCTACATAATTTTTAAATATTTAAACATATATTTTAATTTTTTAAAATCATATATATTAAATTTATTTTAAAACTATAAATATTATTAATTATACAAAAAATAATATCATAATATCATAACTAATTATTATTATTAACTAATTAAACATCAAAGGGCTCAATTCTGGTGGAACGGATAAATGGAGAATTTGATATGATATTTTTTTTAAAAAAAATTAAAATAGTAAAATTAGAAGAAAAAAAATCTCATAAATAAACATAGCCATATAATTTATTTTTTTAAAAGAAAAATAAAATAGATGTTTAATTAATTAATTGTTAACCGTAATGTTTTAAATAAAATTTTGACATGTATATAAATATAATGTAATAAGTTTTGGTTCCTTACGCCTTTTTATACTCATTTTTTTCCCATTCAATCCACCAATCATTTAATTCTTTTAAAGTGCATTATATTTATATACATGTCAAAATTTTATTTAACACATTACGGTTAACAATTAATTAATTAATTAATTAATTAGGGCGGACCAATAATGGAGACTAAACTACATATACTTATATGACAGACACAGAGATACATAACATAAATAGGGTAGTGTATACCTGTCGAATTCTTACAAACCTATACTGTTTGTTTGTTTGTTTGTGATTTTAATTTTAGATTTTACTATTTATTAGTATTATTTTAAATATATATATATTAAATTAAATACATAATTTTTTACTTTTTTTTTAATAAATTTAAACTTAATTGTATCTAACCATTATTTCAATTTAAATTCGGGTAAATTATATAACACTCCACTCCTAATTTGTATTTTAACAAAAATGCACAAAAACATCATGTGTTTTATTTATTGCGTGAAATCCCTTTGTGATAATGTAAAATTTGCAGGCTTTCTTGTTCAAAACTGATATTTGATTATAAATAAATACCTAAATTAGGCAAATTTTATACAAACAAAAAAAAAACAAAATATTTGAAATAATTTTTTTGAATAAAATAAAATAATAAATATTTGAAATAATTTTTTTGAATAAAATAAAATAATAAATTATTAATTAATCCTTCATTTTTATAGTTTTTGAAGACAAATTGTTTTCTGATTTTTTTATATAAAAACTATAAAAGTAAATGATTAAATTTATTTTATTAAAAAAATTATTTAAGATATTTAATTTTTTTTATTTGTATAAAACTTGCATAAATTGAGTCTTTATTTAAAATTAAATATCAGATTTGGACAATGAGGATATTTTGTGCAAATTTTATATTAACATAAGGAGGTTTCACGCAATAAATAAATCACATGACCGGTGTTTTTGTTTATTTTTACTAAAATACAATTAGGTGTTATATAATTTACCCTTTAAAATTTATACTCCCATTGTCCCAAAACTATAGTTTGGGTTGTATTTGACACGAGGTTTAAGGAATAATGATATTATATTAGTAGCGGGTAAAAAGTACGGGTAAAATATTTTTTTGCCCTTGTGTGTGTATTAGTGTAAAAAAATAGTGGCAAATATGTAATAATAATGAAAAAGTAAGGGTAGTTTTATAGTGATATGATTATTTATAAAAATGAGACTATTATTTTGGGATGGACAAAAATGGTAAACATGACTATTATTGTATTGAGACGGAGGTATTATTATTTAAAACCTCAAATCCAACTCTAAAACCAACTAACAAACAAACCCTACATACATACTTTAGAAATGTGGCTATAAATATGACCACAGAACAAAACCCTTTTATTATCATTGCTAAGTATATATATATATATATATATATATATCTTAGAGAGAGAGACAGAGAGAGAGAGAGAGAGAGAATGGAGATTAAGGGAAGGGTAGTGTTGATGAAGAAGAATAGTTTGGATGTGAAGGATTTGGGAGCTTCCATTGGTGATAGGCTGGATGAGCTCCTTGGTAATAAGGTCTCTCTGCAACTCATTACTTCCCCCAAACCTACCCCTACAGGTAATACATACATATATATATATATATATACACCTCTTTCTCTCTCTCTCTCAAGAAAGAAAGAAAGAAAGGAAATGGTGGATGCACATACTTGATTTTTCTTAAATTAACAGTAAAGAAATTCATCTTCTTTCTTTTCTCTCCCTATAAGTATGTTTTGTGTGTGTTATACTCTCCTGTCTCAAAATATTTGCAATTTTTTTTGTATTTTATATATACTCATTTTATTTCTTTTTACCTACTTTTATCAATACTACAATTTATCAAATTATTTCAAAGAATAAGAATAAAAATAGCCTTTTTTTTTCTTCCATTTGTCCGGCTGTATGGGTCTCATTTACTTTTTGCGTCATAGTACTTAACATTAAAAATATTCTTATATTTGTATAATTTTTTTGTACAAATGTCATTATAATAGTATTATAAGACACTAATTAATAGAAGTATTTTTGTCAATATATCTTAATTTATACTATCGTTTTCATATAATAATTAATATTCAAATATCATTATATAATGTAGAAAGTAAATGAGACCCGACACGAATTTAAAAAGAAAAGCTAATAAATAAATTGTGAATGAAGTAGTATATGCTTTGTAATATCTCGAAACCATATATATATATATATATATAAACAAAATTACATGTGGAATTAGAAAAAATAAAATAAAAAAATATTTAAATGAATTGCTCTGAAGATAATTTGATAACTACATAGTATCTCATTTATCCAAAAGTGTGTTATCACTGCAAGAAAATATATTTTTTGTAACGAAATTTTTTTGTCTTTAAATCTACTTTTTTCGTTACCAATGATATTAGAGACGGAATTAATGATGGAATTACGTTAGCTACATGATTTTTAGGGACGGAATTCTGTTACAAATATACTATTTTTTTTATTTTTTTATTTTTTTAGTGTATACAATGAAAGTACTACAATTAATACAAAATTGAATTATGTAATTAATTTAATTTTAATGAAAAAGGTATAAGATCCCTTTTCTTTATCTAAAGATCTCTCTGCCAAAAGTTAGATAATGTTTTTGAAAAGTTTTTTTTGACACTATAAATAACATGTTTCACAATTAGATTCAAATCGTTTTTTTAAAAAAAAAAAATTTCGATGTGATATTTTTATAAAAAAAATAATAATTTATTTTTATAAAAAACTATAAAATTATAAAATATAGAAAAAAATGTTAGCTTGTTTACTTGAGGTTAATTAGATTTTGGCGTTTTGATCTTAATAGTGATTTGTATATTATGATATTTTGTTAGAAAAAATATTGTATTTGTATAAAGTATTATTATGATTGTGTTGTTAAGAAATTGAAATCAAATTTTTATATAATTTGCATGTTCACTAAATCGAAAAAAAAAAAAGTCAAAATCCATAATTTTCAAGTATTTTTACACTATGAGATTGTGGTATGAATTTTTTATTATTATTATTATTTTTTCTAGTTGCATTTTATTTCATTTTTTGTCCTAATTATCATATAGGGTTTAATTGTTCATGTTGTGTTTTTGTTTTTGTTTAGTATTAATTCTCTATTTTCATAGTTTTTAAGGTAAAATAAACATGTAATTTAGTGTGTTTGTTTCTATTTTAAATAAAAAAATATCATTATTCTTCTCGTAGAGTTTTCAATAAAGATACACTTTTATCTCAAAAAATATCATGTTAAAATACTATTTAAACTAAATTCAAATTAATATTATTTCAAATTAATTTCAAAGTACCACAAAACAAAATATTTTAAATAAATATAGGGATGAATATAATATTTTTTTAAATAAAAATAATAGATAAAATGATTTTTAAAAAAGAATTTGAAATGTACTTTATAGATAAAATTATTATTGAAAGCAGTCTTTATATTAAAAAAAACCATAGATGCAAATGTTGAATGTATTTTTTTAAGTTTGATTTTTGAGTTTTAGTTTCAACCTAATATTTTATATGAGAAATTTTATTTGTACTAAAAATTCGCAATAATTATATAATAAAAAAATATTAAAATTGAACTTCAAAAGAATCAAACTATTATTTTACGAAACTTGAAATAATTAATATTTACAGAGAACAAAGAGAAACGAAAGCCGAGCGAGGCGGCGTACTTAGAGAAATGGATCACCACCGTTACCTCAGTCGCGCCGGATGAAGACTCCATCTTCAATGTTAATTTCCATTGGGAGGAGTCTTTCGACATTCCCGGCGCATTCATCGTCAGAAATTTTCATCACTCCGAATTCTACCTCAAGACTCTCACGCTCGACGACGTTCCCGGCGCCGGTAGCATCCACTTCATTTGCAACTCGTGGATTTATTCCGATGAAAAGTACAAATTGCCGCGTGTCTTTTTCACAAATAAGGTAAATTCTGTTTACATAAATATTTTTGAAATTTTTGATACTATTTATCAATAATAATTCATTTAAAAAAAATTCTTGGGATATGTTTCTTTAGCTCGAAATTCTCAAATTTTTACTATTTGTACTCTGCTTCGAAAAAAAGTATTTTTTTCTCTCACAAATATCACATTAAATATTATTTTAATACTACACTCAAATCAAACTTTTTCTCAAGCTAATGAAAAGAAACACACCTATATTTTTTCTTTTCACTTAATATCACATTAAACACTCAATATTTTTATTATTTCCAAAAAAATTCAATGTTTTCAAAGCTTCTGTCTCATGTATTTGTTACTTGAACATGTTAAATATGATGAATAGGATTAAAGACTCTCAATTTAACCTATTTATGTAATTCAATATAAGTTGATACTCCATTTGTCATCCAATTATGTGCTCATTTGACCAAACACGAGTTTTAAAAAAAAATATACAAGAATAGAAATTTTTACTTTTTTTTTTAAAGAAAAGTAATAATTTTTTACTAAAAAAAAAAAGAAATTAATTTGGATGACAACCAAAAAAAGGAAAGTGAACGTATATTTGAATGACGGAAATACTTATTAGAGTAAATTATATATATTCTTTTGTTTTTTTAAGTAAAAATACACAAAAATATTTTTGTGTTTTAGTCAAATATATAAAATACTTATTATTTTATTTATTACGTAAAATCTCAATATGTTATATTAAAGTATGCGACAAATACCCTTTCATCCAAAATTGCTGTTTTGTGGTAAATGTGTGAATAATTATGCAAATTTTATATAAATGAAATAATAAAATATTCTAAATAATATATTTTTTTGAAAAAATAAAATAAATAACTAAATAATTTATCAACAATTCATTAATAGTTTCTTTTAGAAAAATTGTTATTTGATTTTAACAAAATAAAAAAAAAATTACAAAATAAAAATTTGTCAATTATTTATTAATTTATTTTATTCAAATAATATTATTTAAGATAGTTTACTTTTTTGTAACAATTTATTTAGCTGCGACAAATATTCCACCATATTTAGACATTTTTCTAGTAGTTATAAAACATGTATAGTTAGATGTGTGTTTATAATTAAACATCAATTTTGGAAAAAATGATATTTTGTACATATTTTAATTTAACATAAAGAGATTTAACGCTATAAATAAAACTCATTGTGTTATTTGCATTTATACTAAAACACACGGAATATTATGAAATTTACCTTACTTATTATGACAATTATACTAAAATCGATTTAAATTCTTAAATATATTAATTACATCTATTAGAGTATCGGTTATATAATTATTTTAATTGTATTATCTCATTTATCTCTCCAATCCACATTAATATTCAAATTATTTACTTTAACACTTGTTGTAATATCATTATTTTCAACTCATTACATTTACTATTTTATAAAATCAATTATAATTTATTTATTTTTATATATTTTTGTTATCTAATAAAATATTACTTATTATTATTATTAATATATTTAAATTTCAAGATATTAATGATTGTATTTACTTGTGCGATTTCGATTTTGGTTTTACCATTCCAAATTTATTTTTCTTAACAAAAACACCTATTTTTTATTTATTATATTATACTAAAATTAAATTTTATATTCAACACATCATATCAATACATATTTATATTATATCAAACAACTATTTAAATTTTAAATTTTACTATTCAAACCAAAACTCAAAACCAAAATTTCATATGTTAGTAATTTGTATAATAATTTTGAAATATTAAATTATTCAAAATTTTGGGATAGTGATATTTAAAAAAATGAACATAAACATTTTAAAAATTTTAAAATTATAATTTTGAAATAAAAAGAATTAGAAAATCTAAATAATTAAATACATATATATATATATATAAACATGATATTTTGAAATAAATTTGAATTATATTTGTTTAGATAAATTATGAATAAAGTAAAATTTTAAAAACTTTAAATTTCAAATATTGACTACTAAATAATTAAGTTTTTATATTATTATTATTATTATTATTAGAGGTAATAAATTCTTAGAAAATATAATATAATAATATATATGTGTGATTATATGTATTTTGTAAAAAAAAAAATAGAAAATCTTATAGATAACGAGGAAGATGACTGTAACATATGTTTTTAAATATAAAATTAACAAAAGTTATCTTAATATTATTGATGTATATATATATTAAAATTAATTATTTATTGAAGTATTATTGATGTATATATATATATATATATTAAAATTAATTATTTATTGAAGTAAAAATGGACTTTGTTATAGAGTATAATTTTTTATGAGGATAATTTACTTATCATGAGAAATACAACGTTTTATTAAATACATATGTGCTTATTTGGCTTAGTTGTAAAATTTTAATTAGTTGTAATTTAATTTTCATCATCCTCATTATTATTGCTGCTATTATTTTCCTAACTTATTGGCCAGATGCACTTATAAAAAAATAATAATAATAAATTCACCAGAAATATATATATATATATATATATATATTCTACCAGTAAAACATAAAAAATTAAGTTGCAAATTGTTCAAATTTTCAAGAATAAATATAATCAAGTATATTAGGACGGATAAAATTAGGCTATACAATAAAAAATATTATCCGACTTAATTAATAAAAATAAAATAAAATAAAATAAGCTTAAGGTTTGTTTATTGGGGTTTCGATTTTTTTATTTTTTTTTATTTTTTGAAATTCAATTTTAACAATAGTTTGCATGTCATTTCTATAGGTAACATAATATATTTCTATACCAAACTTTGATGATTGCTAGTTAAATAATTTAAAATTAATTTCTAATATAGACAAAAGTTGTTTATTTAACTCTTAACGATTCTAATTTTTTCAGACGTATCTTCCCGACGAAACTCCGGCGCCAATCCGGCCGTACAGAGAAGAACAGTTAGCCATCTTACGAGGGGACGGGACCGGGGAGCTGCAAGAATGGGACCGGGTTTATGACTACGCGTATTACAACGACCTAGGCAATCCCGACAAGGGGGAGGATTTTTCCCGGCCGGTCCTCGGGGGATCAAGGGACTATCCTTATCCCCGTAGGGGCCGTACCGGGAGACCCCCCACCAAGTCAGGTTTGTCGTCCAATTATCAAAACAAGTTTATCACAAGCATATTCTAAAACATTTAGAACATTGACATAGCGCTTTTTTGATCATATAGAACCTAATACGGAGACTAGGATTCCGCTTATCAAAGGGTTAAGTATATACGTCCCAAGAGACGAGCGTTTTGGACACTTGAAAATGTCGGATTTCTTAGCCTTCGGGCTCAAATCGATATTCCAATTCATCGTGCCAGAGGTCGCGCATCCTTCAGACAGCATCAGCAACGAGTTCGATAGATTCGAAGAGGCACTTGACATTTACAAAGGCGGGATCAAGCTGCCTAAAGGTCCTCTAGTTCAAAAATTGTACGAAAGCATCCCGTTCGAGTTGCTCAAGGAGTTTCTCCCAACCGACGGCGAGGGGCTCTTCAAGTTCCCGACGCCTCAAATAATTCAACGTAAGCTCCGGCTTAGTTTAGGCTAAAAGTATTCGATCCGCGTAAAATGCAATGCTATATAATGAAATGTTTTCGTCGTAGATGACAAGTCCGCATGGAGAACAGACGAAGAATTCGCAAGAGAAATGCTCGCCGGAGTGAACCCCGTCATCATAAGCCGTCTTGAGGTGCACAAAAAAATTATCGTTCGGATTCTAAAAATCTTTGATCTCTATACCGTACCTTAACAAAGTATTTTAGCGTTGTTCGGGTACGCCTTGCAGGAGTTCCCTCCGAGAAGTAGGCTCGACCGGAGAGTGTATGGCGACCAAACCAGCACGATAGCGGCGCATCACATACAGAACCAATTGGATGGGCTCGCCATTGACGAGGTACGTATCCTCGACTCAAACAAGTTTCTCAACCGAGGACAATGAACTCAAAACTTGCCACTCGCGAGTGCAGGCAATCAAGGCGAACCGACTGTTCATACTGAACCATCACGACACGCTTATGCCATATGTAAGGAGGATCAACGCAACGACTGGAACAAAACTATACGCTACAAGAACTATCCTCTTCCTGCAAGCAAACGGGCAGCTGAAGCCCGTAGCCATCGAGCTAAGCCTGCCTCATCCCGATGGAGATCAGCACGGTGCAGTGAGCAAAGTGTACACACCTTCTAATCACGGCGTCGAAGGCACCGTCTGGCAGTTGGCGAAAGCGTATGCCACTGTCAATGATGCCGGAGTCCATCAGCTCCTTAGCCACTGGTATGTATATATACGCGACAATTCGAAACATTTATCCTTTCTGATCTGAATCAATCAAGGCCTATATATACTCATCAGTGAAAACTTGTCGACAGGCTGAATACACACGCCGTGATAGAGCCATTTATCATTGCAGCATACCGGCAGCTGAGCACGATGCACCCTATACACAAGCTGCTGCAGCCTCACTTCCGGTACACGATGAACATCAACGCTTTCGCGCGGGAGATACTGCTGAACGCCGGGGGACTTCTCGAGGCCACAGTTTTCCCCGGGAAGTATGCTATGGAACTCTCTGCAGTTGTCTACAAGGACTGGTGTTTCACGGATCAAGCACTTCCAGCTGATCTGCTCAAAAGGCAAGTAGTTATCATTATCGTTTTCGACACACTTACAGTTTTTATGAAGTTCGGATAACGAAGGTTGTAATCTGCAGAGGAATGGCGGTCGAGGATCCAAGCGCGCCATACAGCCTTCGCCTGCTAATCGAGGACTACCCCTACGCCGTGGACGGGCTCGAGATCTGGTTCGCCATAAAAGCATGGGTGGAGGACTACTGCAGCTTCTACTACAAATCCGACGACACAGTCAAGAACGACACCGAGCTACAATCATGGTGGAAGGAGCTCCGGGAGAAGGGGCACGGGGACAAGAAAGACGAGCCGTGGTGGCCAAAGATGCAGACGCGAAAGGAAATGGTGGACTCATGCACCACGATCATATGGATCGCCTCCGCGCTGCATGCAGCCGTCAACTTCGGACAGTACTCGTATGCAGGCTACATGCCCAACCGCCCAACAGTGAGCCGGCGGCTGATGCCGGAGCCAGGCAGTGAGGAGTACGAGGCGATGAAGACCGACCCAGAGAAGGTGTTCTTCAGGACCATCACGGCGAGAATGCAGACGCTGCTCGGGATTGCGCTGATCGAGCTGCTGTCGAGGCATTCGACAGACGAGGTGTACCTGGGGCAGAGGGAGACGCCGGAGTGGACGGCGGACGCGAAACCGAAGGAGGATTTTGAAAAGTTTGGGAAGAGGTTGGGAGAAATAGAAGAGAAGATAGAGAGGATGAACAGTGAGGGGAAATATGGGAATAGAATTGGACCTGTGAAGCTTCCTTACACTTTGCTGTTGCCTACCAGTGAGCCTGGATTGACTGGCAGAGGCATTCCTAACAGCACATCTATGTGATCTTCATCCGCAACCTGAATCTGGAACAATGTTTGCCAATAAAGCAGTCCAATAATAAAGCATTTCAATATTATCATCATATATATTTATAGACCGATATTCAATAAAGCAGGGAGGATCTTCCAATGCTTTCTTGTTTGTATTTTGTAGTTTGTGATGATAATGAAATGGAAATGGAAATGTTATACCAGTAGGGACTCGTTTCGACGAAAACTACGAAAGAGCTTTTATTATTCCTCAAGGAGTTTTGACTGAAACTATTGTGAAGCCTGCAAGCAAAGAAACAAGTCACAGCCAAAGCCAGCTTGCTATCTCCAACCATATTAATAAAGCAATCAATCCTAAATTTAGAAAAATAAAATATCGGGATCTGATCTGCTGTTTGCTTGATTTCTAGGTAGCATCGCATGCCCACACCCTACAATTCATCCTGCAAAACAAATTGATGAAACAAATGTGAGAAAAGAGCCAATTAATGGGAAAGGAACGTTTTGGAAACAAAGAAAATATATAACTACTGCCTTTACATGTGCATCACTGTCGACTTCAGCCAGAGGGTCATCTAAGCCTTTTGAGTCTGTTTTGGCATCATCATCATCATCATCATCAACATCGTTGGCATCATCAGCATCGTCAGAGTCATCATCTGCATCTTCAGCCTGTACAAAGGAAGAACCGCGTGGTTAAGCAACAATAGGCATGAGATAAAACCTACACAGCATGATTTTAAAGCAAGATTCAGCACTTACATCAGAATCGACATTAGCATTCTTTGATTCCTGAAAAGAGAGGCAAATATTACTGTTAGAATTCGGAAACAAATTGTGGGGAGCTTGCAACTTTGCTCCAAGCTAAGGAAATATGTATCTGTATATATATATAATACCTCCTCTTCACTCTTCTTCTCTGCTTCTTCAAAAGCTGCCTTCTCCACCTGTATTTGACCATTCCTTGAATGTATTAGTAAGATGGTAACACCCCCTTTCCATTTTCAAGGATATTGAATTATTGAGAAAATATCAATAAAAAATATATTAATAAAACAAATGTACATACATCCTTTTGCTTGCCCCATGTATCTTCAGCTAGCTTCTTGGCATATTCGGGGTCATCAGTCAACAAGACATTGTCGAACAAGGTACCGGACTTTACCTGGAGATGCACATACTCGTTAACTTATAAAAACCAAAGCTGAAATACAGGTGTTCTTTATTTGCCTTCCTCAAAGATATAGAACTGAAGCAGAACATGTAGAAGTTTCTATACCTGCCACAACTCAATACCCACATACTTAAGATTTGGGTATACATAGAGTTCTGGGTCATCTTTAAAATCTGCAATGCCATGTATATTGAAATTAGAAGCTTTTGAAACACCATGGCTTGTAAGATGCCGACAACAATAAAAGTTAAAAATACCAGGGTTGTCGATCAAAGGTGCTTCCCACTTGCCCTTGTAGTTGGAGTTCTTAATTTCCTGGTGGTAGAAAAAGCTAGTCATGCACAGTCCATAAAGTATCAATAAAACTGAACTGAAACCTCATTCACCTTTGGCTTCCATGGTCCCTTGTACTCAGGGTTGGGAATGGTTGGTGCAGTCCACTCACCATCTTCTTCATCATTCCAGTCTTCCGGCTGAGAATAGAAAATGAAAAGGAAAGACATCAGGCACTATCCCCTGGATAAATGGCTAGCACTTAATGTGATTTTGTTACCTTTTTGGCTTCAGGATCTGGAATCTCCTTAGGGATTTCATCATAACCCTGTTGGCACAGATTTTTTGAATTTGTATCAAACTCAATAGCGCTAAGCTAACATGACAGCAACCTTCATGTGATAATATCATAATTTTTATGTATGCAACAATATATTCACCTCTGGCTTCTTGTCTTCAGGGTCAGGAATATATTCCTTATCATCCCAGTCTTCAGGCTGCCATTTGGAACCCAGAAATTATACAAACACTTTCTAAAGCACACGATGTACAAATGTGAAACTTCAGTTTATGTGTGTGAACCAAAATGAGAAAACCTTTTTGGCCTTGGGATCCTTGATTTTCTTTGGAGGCAGAATATCCCAATCAGAGTACAAGCTACCAGACTGCTTCTCAACATTGTCGATAAGAGTTGTGTAAGTAGCATCAGGGCGGAGAATAAATGTATACACATGAGTCAGCTGGTCTGTTTCACATGGAACATCCTTCTTGATCAAGTGGTTTGTTCCCTTGTATGTGAGAATTGAGTGGACTTTTCTGGTGGTATACCCACAGATGTCGGGTCCAAACATGATGCTGCAGTTAACCATGCACAACATATTAGCATTTCCATCAACACATAACAAAAGTGATCCAGGCGGATAAGGAATAATCAAATGATGATGCAAACCTGTATGGAGTGTCACCACCAAATTTCTTCTGGTCAATGTTACCACTTAGGAGTTTCATGTATCCTCCACCACAGTCAAGCTTCTGCTCGTGCTTGACAGAGAACTGGAAAACTAAGGTCTTATCTTTGTTGCTAAATTCAGGGAACTCAGCAGAAATGGCATAGAACCTATAATCTTCACTAGTCTGGATACCTGCAGTAGGATAACGAAAACAATAGAGCTTCCATCCTGTGTACTTTCAATACTTATAAGAACTGCACAGAACGAAACAATTTGATTACCTTTGTCATTAGAGTCTCCATTCCATTTTCCGGAAGTGTGGTTCCATTCACCAGCCATGTTCTCATCTCTCTTCCAGTCAGATTTGACCCATCGACTTTCCCATCCATCTGCATTTATTAGCATAAAAAATCATTGATAATAAACAACCAACGGAAACAACAATTATCTATTTGCATTCACAAGGCGATTGCTGCTGCTGCTGCTGTTGTTATGATTAAGCAGTGTCTCTGTCATTAGCCATTAAAATAAGCAGTGATCACAATCATACTGAATTGCTACATTTACACTGTCCTTATAATGTGTTCTGGAACTGCATTGGAGTCATCTTTGTCTATAACCAATTAGCCTCGCACGTTAGAGGAGATCATAAAAAACAAATCGATATCCACTTGTCTTTGTCTATAACCAATTAGCCTCGCACGTTAGAGGAGATCATAAAAAACAAATCGATATCCACTTGTCTTTGTCTATAACCAATTAGCCTCGCACGTTAGAGGAGATCATAAAAAACAAATCGATATCCACTTGTAGAATATACAATCATCGATCATCCAAAAAACGAAAAACAGACGTAAAATTATTCTCCAGTCGATGCAGATTACACGTAAAAGTACATTTCATTAGTTAAGAGCAATCAAACGATACAGAATACGCATCAGATGCCTATAATCCAAAAATCCACACACATAAACCGAAACCAAATTGATCAAATTAAGCAGAGACAACAAAATTACCATCAAAACGCTCCTCAAAGAACACTTTCGCGGAGGCACAAGCGAAGGCAAGAGAGAGGCTAATGGCCAGAGAAAGAAAACCCGGCCTAACGACATGCAATCTCCTCTGCATTATCGCCATGACTGTGTTCCCTACTAAAGCCACAGAAAACCTCAGATCTGCTACCAAAGGGTTTATATAGGCCCAATGCCTGCGTGATCCCATTTCCAGACGCCGTCTGACGTGGACATATTCGGTTACGTGTACGAATCACAGAATGCCACATAAGATTGAAACTGTCACATTGACACGTGGCACAACTGCATTGGGACTAGACACGAATTGGACAGTCCGCCCGCTCACAAGATTGTGGGGTGAAGCTGGAAATGAATGACGGATTTACCCTCATATATAAATGTTAAAAATACGACGATGAGGGTAATATAGAAAATTCAATTAATAATACTACAAGCGTGGAACTCTTCCTTTTTATAACAAAAAAATTATGATAAAATTAGTGAAATAAATTTTTTATTATATTTTGATCTTAATAAACGTATGAAGTCTGCAACAATCTCTATTAGAAATTAGTTTCTGAAAAATCATTACTACAACTAGCATGATGGACAAAATAGTTGCATTAGATAGAAAAATAAAAATTGGATTTGTTTGTTTAGGTTTTTTAATTTGAAATAATTTCTTTTTACTTGAGACATGAATAAGTTACCTCTATACTATAAAAAATAATATTTTATTTAAAAAATATTATTTTTTTTTGTGAAATAATAAAATATATATTATATATGAACCACTGTATTGATTTTGACTAAATTAACAAATTAATTTGAAGTAATTAATAAATTATCAGAACGCGCATAAACCTTACCAAGTTAGCACATTAATGTATTGTGTAAGTTATATTTTGTAATATGTTTGTATTACATGTAATCAAGGCCGGCCTTGGGCTCGGGCGAGAGGGCGCCCGTCTAGGGCCCAATCTAAATAAGGGTCGTAACATATTTATATATACATATTATTTGAATTTTATATATTAATAGAGGAATGTGGGAATGTGGTTTGATAGTTACAAATTCTGTCTCAAAATTTGAAAGTATTTTTTAATGCATTAAACAAAGTTAATATTAATCAATACTATTATTAATATTTTGCATATAAACATATTAAGTTTTATTTTATTCAATTATTTATATTTTATTATAGCTAAAAAAATATATTATTTATAAATATTGTTTAGACAAAATTATTATTAATACTATTATTGATATTTTATCTAAAAAATACTAGAAAAAATTATTTTATCTAATTATTTATATTTTATTATAGGTAAAAATATATATATATACTTCATCCGCCCCTTATTTATCTATTTGTTTGTTTTTTCATGGAGTTTTAGGAATATTAGTATTATATTGATGTGTTGTATGAATAAAATAGAAATGACAAGGGTATTTTTAATGTTAATAGAAAGTACCGTTACTAGAAAAAAATAATATTTTATTATGGGACTGATCAAAATAGAAAAATTGATAAATTGTTAAGGGACATACTGAGAGAGAGGGAGTATATCATTTATAAGGGGTTTTTTTAATTTTTTTTTCATTAAGAAGAAAATAAGTATTAGACAAAATTATTATTATTATTATTATTAGGCGAAATTATCAATAACTCTCTTGTTGTTTTAAAATTTAGCGTAAATCCTCTCTATAATTTATAAATTGTATGACGTCCTTTTATACTTTCAAAATTGTTAGAATAAAACTTATTTTTATATTCTTTTGGACGATGAGAAGATGATTTTTCGTCTATATTTTTTTATATGATGTGAGTTTCATATAACATTTGTTAAAGTATAAAAGGGACGCCACAAATTTTTAAAGTACATAAAAATTTTATGCTAAATTTCAAAATTACATAGAAATTATGAACAATTTTGTTTTATTATTATTATTGATATTTTTGCATAAAAATATTAAAAAAAATGTTTTTTTTATTATTTATATTTTATTATAAGTAAAAAAACTATTATATATATATATATATATTCAAGGCCCTTAATTTTTATTTCACCCCGGGTCCTTCAAAAGTCGGGACCCGCCCTGCATGTAATTATATAATGTGTTATACCATATATTGTATTAATATTTGTTGTGTGAGTTATATATTGTATTGTGTTATATAATTTGTTTATTATACTATACTGTTAAACTCAGAATATATTGCTTTGAAATTAAAATTATTTTTTATTATTTAAAATTTTAAAATAAGATTAAAGTATATAATTATTATGAATATTTTGTAATATAATTAAATTATATTAATGATATTAGTGTAATAAGTAAAAGCAAATACAATGATTTTGTTTTCTAAAAAATGCCTCTAGAGGGATTTTAAATCTCGGTTCTCCAAGTTTTTTTTTTGAGCGAATCGATCTTTTAAAAAAAATCGGTCACAATAATTCATTTCGAGTGCGATAGAAAAAGATGAGAGAATAGATAAATTCTTCTCAAATTTCGGTCCATATGCTTCTTCTTTCAAAGAAATCGCTCAAGCCAAAAATCTCATATTTCTTCCGTTGGGTTCTAAGGGTACTATTTATTTTTTGTGTGTTGATCTTTAAATATTAATTATTATATAAAAAACGTAATACAAATTAAAAAAAAATTGCAAAAATACTTTCATTAGTTTTTTATAATACTAATAGAATGATATTATACAGAAAGTTATACATATATTTAATATTACTACAATAATGTAAAAGTTAAATACGATCTTAGGGCGGAAGGAGAAAATAAATTTTAACTCTATAAAGAAGCCATTGTATTTTCACTAAGATGTAAGAAAAAATTTCAATAATTGTATTAGAAAAAAAAAATGAATTAATTGATTTGTAACGCATCAAGATGATAAAGTAGAGGAATAGATTGATTTGAAATAAAGATAATAATAAAATCAAATTTATTGATTTACATAACAACCAAGTGAAATACAACACATGATGATCCATCCCGTAAATGGATAAGATACAATATTTTATCAAAGCTGATTATAATAATAATATATAAAAAAAAAAAAAAAAAAAAAAAAAAAAAAAAAAAACTTAACAATATTTGTATGAATCAAACAAACATTTTCAATTAGGGTTCTTGACAATGAGAATTGGGCATTTTAATGTCTGTGCACACTGGCTGCTCACACTCCCAAGAAATGCCCTGTCGTCGTCGTCCCCAAATGAAATCGAATCAAATCAAATCATACAGAGAGTAAGTTTAAATTAAAGAGTTTAGGGGGGTAGGTACCTCTTGATGGGACCATAGCCATGGCTTCCCACCACCACCAAGTCCACCTTCAGCCTGGCAGCCACCTCGCAGATCACATCCCTCGGATCGCCATTCTCCACCATCTTCTCCACCTTCAACTGCGCGTGAAAAGACCGTATTGCCCCCAGTGATTAATTAATTAATTAGTTAATTAATTTTACCTCGCTGTTGAAGTCGGTGCAGAGAGTGGAAGCCTTTTCCAGAACCTTCTCGGCCACCTCTTTGGCGTAGCGCTCCATGCTGGTGATTATGCTCGACGAGAATAGGTACCCTGCTAAAATCAATTCAATGAACCTTCAATTGATCAGATCAGATCAGATCAGATCTTGATTAGAATTTAGAATAGAATAATAGAATAGTTTTTTTTTATGATTTTAGGGAGGTTACCTGCGGAGTCGAGGGCGGAGTAGACGGGGAGAGGGGTTTTGGCGTGGAGGAGGAAGAGAGTGTCGTCGCGATTGAGGAGGAGTGTTTGTAGACACCATGAGAGCGCGCGGGAGCTCTCCTCACCGTCATCAATGGCCACCAGAATCTTACGCCCCATTTGATTTCAACTCCAATCAATTCAATTTTGAAATATTTCAGTATCCGCCTGCCGATATATATATATATATCTATAGTAGCGTGTGCCGTACAGGTACAGCCGCCGAGGGATTCAATCCGGCGGTGGTTCGTTTAATTGTTTGGTGGTTTTGCAAATGGTGGGCTTTGATGGTATCGGAGCGTCTTGGTTGGTTTTTGGGGTGTGGTTTTGGATTTTGCCTTTTTTTTTTTTTTAATTAAAAATTTAAAAATATCTTTGAAAACATAGTGATAATATATATATTTTTTATCGCGTGGGAATCCGAAAGTGCTCGATGAATAAATTTCAAACTGAATTTAATATCCTACAAACATGATCTTACCGTCACAAATTTAACTTTCATACCATTCGGTCATCCATTTCGAAACAATAGTAGTCCTTTTTGTGCAGTGAAAAACATACTTTTGTTATTTTTCTCTTGAAAGTTAAAAAGGAAAAAAAATTAGATTATATATCATTACATTTTGTATAATTGAAAATAAATATGTTTGGACAAAATTAATGAAAATAGTACATTGATTTGAAATAATGAAATAATATATTGATAATGTTAAAAATATATAAAAATATTTAATTACTTGTATGATACTCTCGGATAAATTATTCCTGATATATGAATTTAGATATCGTATGATTAGTAAATAATTAAAAAATATAATAATAAAGATAATTATAAATTAATATTAAAATAATAATTTAATTAAAATAATCAGTTATAAATTATAAAATTTAAAATACGATTAAAATGTATAATTATATATAATTTTTTAAAAAAATAAATCATATGAAACAAATCGAAATGGAGGATATGAATATTTAATGTGGGAAGAGAATAGTTTATTAGTAGTATATTTATAATTCATATAAAAAATTAAAATTATTTTGAATGATTAAGTAATTATTATATTAAATAAAAACAATAATATGATGTATTTTGATAATATTATATATATATTTATATAATTTACATCTTAATAAAAATATATTAATACAATGTGAACATATATAATCAAAATATAAAGATATAATAAGTATTGATTGAGATGTAACATATACAACTTTTATAATTATGTGTAGTAGACATGATGCACGTCGAAATGTTATAAGTGGATCCATAGGCAATGTGCCATTTGTCACATAATTAATTGCTATCTATCTATTATTGATTTTTAATCAACAATAAATCATTATTAGAAACAAGACCAATGAAAAAATAACAATAACTTGATAAAGTAGGGTAAGATTGGGATTTTTTTTTTTATATATATTTTTAAATATAATTTATAAAATTATATCAAAAATTGTTAAAAAAACATTTAAATTATATCATCTTAAAACTTATATATATATAAATACAAACATTATGTGCAAAAATCATCACATCATCGTCGTCATCATTATTATTATTATTATAAATTTTGGTCCGTCGTTTAAAGCATATAATTCAACCGGCCTCTAAAAAATATAATAGTTGGCCTGCTCTTTAGATTTGTCCATCTGATTCGACTTAAATTATTTAACTCAAACCCAAGCTCAAACCATTTATCCTCAACACAAATCCTTAGCCATTTATTAGATTGGTTATAATCGTAAGTAATTTTATTTAAATAATATTGCACCTGAGGCTAAGCCTTAATTCCAATTATCTCTCTCGCCGCTGAAATATCAAAGTCCATCAGAGATAGTTCATTGTTAGAGGAGTTCACCATTACGTCCCGAAGAGAAGCCGCCGTTAAACCTATGTTCGTCCGAGCAGACGATCAATCATTGTTTGGGAGCTGTTCGTCGGAGGGGAAGCGAATCTCCGTCATCGTCCTCATCCGATCTAAAATTCACTGACATGAGTTGTTTGAATTGGGCGAATTTTGAGTTCTAGAATTGCACATTTAGGTAAGTTTGTTTGGTTTTCATTTGATTTCATAATATAGTTGTAATTTTATTTCGGTTATATCAATTTGGATTTAATTCAAATTCGCTTCTACTACTAATTAAATCATAATATTTTTACAATGTATTGCTCGAATAAATTCATCAATCCGGGAATATAGATTTACAACAGTAGTATCAGAATTTGGCAACCAACTCCGAAATTGAAAAAAAATAAAAAATGTTTGAGTTTGGTAGGACTTGATCCGTGGTAAAAGACTAAACTCTTATCTCTTTAGTTTTTCAGTATATTATTTGTTCTATAGCATATGTGAGTAAATAATATGCTGAAATTATTTATGTTGATTGATTATGCATGTTTTGATAATTAGTAGAATCATTTTGGAATATGTTATAGTTTCTTGTATTTTTTCTTGGTTGAATTTTTTGAAGTTACGTCCTGGTTCCTTGATTGTTTGTTATTCAGGTATTCTTTGGATTATTAATAATTGCAATAGTCATTGTTGTGATGCATGTTTAATTTTATGTATATTTAAATTTCTTTGGAAGAAGACAAAATATAAACTAAAAGTTAAAATTTAATTTTAAAATAATAATAATAAATAATATTTTAAAATATGGGCCCATAAAAGGTTGAGCAGTTGCTCACCTTACTCCTGCTATAAGCCGCGCTATGAATCGGATAAGAGAGGGCCTAGTGCATGACAAGTTTGCACATGCCGTGTTCGAACAAATCGAGGAAGGGAGGACTCAAAAGTATTCTCTGGAAGATGGCCTTGTTGTGACGAAAGGCTACCGAATGTACGTACCAAAATGGGAGAACTTAAGGAGAGATATCCTGCGAGAATGTCATGACATCAAGTATGCCGGACATCCAGATGTTCAGAGGACTTTGGCTCTCCTCCGAGAATGCTACTATTGGTCGGGCATGAAGGGGACATAAAGGACTATGTCGGGACGTGCCTTATTTGCCAGCAGGATAATGTAGAGAACCAACCACCCGCAGGTTTGATGCAGCCCTTGCCGATACCTTGGAGGATGTGGGAAAACATCTCTATGGACTTTGATGTATGTAAGTATATATCTAATAAATATGTATTTGAGATTAAACTAATAAAAGACTATATTTTTTAATTTACTACAAAAATTCAAATGACCCATTTGGACCGGGAGGGAGAAAGTATATAGTAGTATCTTGAAAATTTTATTTAGGAATATGTTCAATTGACATTGTATGTATAATGTAATGACAATGACAAAATTATAATAATATCTTTAGATTACTAGTAATATCTAAATTGATGAAAAAATAGTCATTATTTATAATATAATTTGACAAACAAATTTAAATAAAGGCAAATATAAGCTTTATAGACAAATAAGGATAAAAATATAAATATAAACAACTTACTATATAGTAAAAACAATCACAATATCTTTAGATTCGGCCGGGGATTTACCCAATGCGCACTTTCGGATAGCGATTGCGGATTTCCACGTCATTAAAAAAAAAAATCACAATATGCCCCGTAAAGAATGGTTAGATGGTGTGAGAGTGAACTCGTAAACGTCCGACGCATTACAAACTGATACACTTCATAAAAAAATGGAAGAAATAAATAATAGGAATTGAAAGACACATTCATGTATATAAATTCATTATTGAAAAGGGAATGCATAAAAGCATAATATGCATATTTATTTGTCTATATATATAATCATTAAGTAATAAATTTAGATTGTTAAGTACTCAATAAATCCTCAAGTTGAGGATAATAATATCTATAGCACACCACCAGCGAACACTATTCTTGGCAAATACTCCCTCCGTCTCAAACAAGGTGCAATATTTACTTTTGACACAAGTTTTTAGGTGGGTATTATTAAGTAAGATAATTTAGCAATTAGGTGATGTGATGGAGAGAGAAATATATATTTTTATTTTTTTAGAGGGGATAAAGTGTGGGGTAGAGATTAAGTATAATTAATTATTTCTTATTTTGAAAATGTTGCATGGTGATTGGGACATACCAAAAAAGAAATGTTGCAGGGTGTTTGAGACGGAGGGAGTACTAGACAACAAACTCAACCAAGAAAGCGTCGGTGTGATTCATATCAATGACGTTGCAATTATCCGTTAAACCGTCGCGCCAATTCGGTCATTCTTGTAAGCCAACAACTAATTAGGCTTCTTGACTATTAAAACGGGACATTTGACATTTTGTGCACAATGACTGCTTACGCTTCCCAGCAATGCCCTGCATCCATCACATTAATATTCATTGTAATGTCACGTGTAATAACTAATTAAATATGTACAAGAAGCATATATCAAGATTCAATAATCTTGACTAATTAAAAATTCATTATACAAAAATAATTGGCTCAAATAAAAAAAATTAGGATTGAGATGGAGAAAAATTGAAAACAAATCCTATTTGGGTCTCTCTCTATATATATATATTATTAAAAAAAATTAAATCTTGTGATCTTAAGTACTTTATATTACATGTGTATGTCCTATGCTTTTAAATACACATTTAATTTATTATAAAATGATAATTTGTAGTTATTGTTCTATTTATTATTTTTAAATTTATAGGATCATATATATTTAATCAACCTTTTAATTTAACAATAATATCAATTTAAAAAATTAATTTAAATATAGAACCTTTTGATGACGCCGTAGCCATGGCTTCCAATGACCAGAAGGTCCGCCTTAAGTTTTTCAGCCGCTTCACATATCACATCCCTTGGGTCTCCATTCTCTACCAACATCTCCACTTTAATCTATATATAATATATACGTAACATACACACATTTTAAATATGGTAAATTTAAATATAATTTAATTTTCAATATTGTATTCTTGTTATTTTAATATTTTCTTTATTTATTTTCAAATATTAAATGTGATATTTGATATGGATACTTTGGCTAAATTGCACAAAATTCAACTGTGGTTTCATAAAATTGCACCAAATTCCCCGTACTTCTAAACTAAAACTGCATCAAACTTCTTCGTGGTTTCATAAACTTTGCGTCTAACCCCTCAACGGTCCTTATTTAACGATATTTGATCTAAATGCGCTCAAACTGCGAATAAATTTTAGAATCTCAGTTTTTAAACTCCTAAAATTAAAAATATATTTATTTTTTCAATATATTTAACCTAAAAAAATAGTAAATATAAACTCTTAAAACCTGAAAAAATAATTGAGTATATTTACTATTTTTTTAGGGTAAATATAAAAAAAATAAATATATTTGTAATTTTAGAGGTTTATAAATTGAGATTCTAAAATTTATTCGCAGTTTGAGCGCATTTAGGTCAAATACCGTTAAATAAGGACTACTGAGGGGGTTAGACGCAAAGTTTATGAAACCACGAGGGAGCTTGATGCATTTTTAGAAGCATGGGGGATTTTGTGCAATTTCATGAAACAACGGGTGGATTTTGTGCAATTTAGCCGGATATTTTTTTGAGTAAGTTGAAAAAATCATTGTATATTATTTCGACCTATCAAATCTGATAGACTGTCTAGAAGAAAATTTTAACAACAACATATATATATGTGTATGTATATATATATATATATATATATATTGCAAGTGTAATCAAATGATATTACATGATCATCATAGTCCTTGCAAATCCGTTTAGCCTTATCTGCGACATTTTGAGCTATCTTGCTGGTTTGCTGATCCATGGTGTCGATTACATCGGACGAAAACAAATATCCTTTAAAATGTATCGAATCAGATGATATTCTCGATCGTATAAATATATAAGTGTTATATACGATTGTTTATATACATACCTGTAGAATCACCGGTGGTGGAGTTAGAGGGAATGTGTCTAGCATAAAGAAGAACAATGGTATCTTGAGAGCCCGAACCATGTTTAGCGACAATATTCCTAAGACACCATGTTAGAGCGTAGGAGCTTTGATCGCTATCATCAACAGCCACTACGATATTACGTCCTTTAACATCTTCCATTTCTTGAATCTACAAGCGATCGATCTAATGAGATAATATCGTATATGGATGTGTGTTTGCTCGACTTGATTGAGGAAACATTTAAGGATATTTTTCAAATGTAATTTTATTACATTTTCATTGAAAGAAACTCTAGTATGCATGTATGATTGTGATCATATTTGTCTACTAAATAAGATTTAATTTATAAAATCTATTTATAACATGTGGTAATAGTTTTTTTTTTTAATAAATATATTCTTATAAATTCTTTTTAATTATTATAATAAAATTATTATTATTATTATTATTTTTTTTCAAAATATGAGAAATATTAGGCAAGAACTTGGGATCTCAAGACATGAAATTAGTTAAGATAAATTCAGCATTGCTAAATGTAATCACAACCATTAATTTAAATATTATTTTATTTAATTAAGATTATTAAATCTAAATTAAAGTTTGACATAAAATTTATATGTGCTATATACATAAATTATGAATGGTTCTATGCTTCCATATATAAATACAAAAAATAAATATCAAATATAGTTATAAAAATTAATCTTTTAAAATGTAAAATTTTGTTTACTTTCAATACATTTATAGTTCTCAATTAAAATATGTAATATTTTCTTATAAAATATTTAAAGAATAATAGAAATAAATATTTTTATAATATATTCATAATGCTTAATTAGTAATAAAAAATCTAAAAATAATTAGGTTTGTTTATTTTAGCTTGAAATTGATTTAAAATAAAATGTTTGGTTTAAATATTTGTTTAAATAGTATATTGATATAATATATATATTTTAAAAATAATAATTTATTTGTATTAGGCCATCTCCAATCACACTCTATTTCTCCCGTTCCAACTCCATTTCTGCCGCCACCCAACTCCAACTCAACGCCATTTGCAACACCATTTTTGGTGTTTGCTACAGTGCAACACCAGCAAACGCTATCTATGGTGTATTTGTTTTTTTTTTTTTTTTTTTTAATTTTTTTTAATTTTTAAAATTATAAATTTGATTTTTAAATTTAATTTTTATTTTTTTAAATTTTAAAAAAATTTATTTAAAATTATAAAAATGAAAAGTTGTTTAAAATAATAGGAAAAATTGAATATTTAAAGAATAATAGGGAAAAATAGAGTTATGGTTGGAATAAAATTACTATAGCAACCGCATATATGGAGATAAAACTGGATAAATAGAGTTGATGGGTTGGAGATGGCCTTAGGAATTGAATGTGATGTTTTTTAATTTCAAATAATAACACTATTTACTTGTAAGATTTTAGTTTTGAGTTTTGATTTCGAATAATAAAATTTTGAATTAAAATATGTGATATAAATATATATTAATTTTATATTTTAAATATAATATTAAATTTTAATAAATAAAATATGTTTGAAAGTAAAAAGAATTGAAATAATAAAATCAGATTGTTATAATTAAACACATATGTAACGTATTTTAATAAAAATGTGCATGAGGAAGTAAAAGTAGTTTTGAATAACTACGGGGCCTAATGTCCAAAATAGAAAACTTTTGAGAGTAAAATGCAATTTACAATTTCACCCCAAAATATGAGTCTAGGGTTGGATATTAATTTATTAATGCCCACGCGGAGAAGAGACCGTCTGAGGAACATATAGTCGATCGAGCCCGAACGAATCAAGCAAAAGAGGGAATTCGGTGGGCTCGCGGTCGTAAAGAGCCCTCGAGGGATTACCGACACTTTTTGATCGATTTTGCACGAGTGGTTTGGATCGGAGGCGGACCAATTCGGGGATAAGCAGAGATGTTTTTGGTGGATTGGTTCTATGGAGTGCTGGCGTCGCTGGGACTGTGGCAGAAGGAGGCGAAGATTCTGTTCTTGGGTCTCGACAACGCCGGGAAAACCACGCTGCTTCATATGCTTAAAGACGAGGTCGTTTCCTTTTTGCTAGATTATGTGTTCATTTGCTTTTGTTTCGTTTTTGGGTTTGTGCGATTCGTGTTTATCGTTATTGTGTGCAATTGGAAATGAACATTGTTAGTTTATGAATTGTGGAAAGCAATCAAATAAATCTGAAGTAGATGTAGAGCTCTTTCAGTGCTTCGGATTTGATATTTTGATTTGAGCTTTGCACCCGATGGATGTGCAAACTGAATTGTTAATCCATGCTTAATATGTTCTTCGTTCAACTGTAAAACCTTTTTTATTATTTTGTTGTTAGATGTGCTTGTTTCGACAGTTATTTCATATATGTTCTTTTTAAAGTATTTCTATCAAGAAATGTAGTAAAGTGTATAAAAATGTAATGGTAGTGATGCTAAGACTTTCAAGGTGTTGGATATAAACAGAGATTGGTGCAACACCAGCCAACTCAGTATCCGACTTCGGAGGAGCTGAGTATTGGGAAGATCAAGTTCAAGGCTTTTGATTTGGGAGGTCATCAGATTGCCCGCAGGGTTTGGAAAGATTATTACGCCAAGGTACTGACTAATTTATGTGAAAAGCTTGTATGTTTCTTTGGCGTAAATTTATTATGCTCATATTAGTAATTACTCCATAAGATTGTGATAGCTCGAGTTTGATTTCTGATTTCCTGCATTATTATTCTTCAAGTTACTCTAATATGTTATCCATATACCTCAACTGCCTCCACCAAACCAATATGTTTATATATTATGGTTTATGCCAATGCCCTCTACAGCATACGGTATGTTAGTGCAGTCAATTTTCTTCTCATCTTTTATCCATTGTAAAAAATGCTGTGCGATGGCAAAAAAATTTCTCCTGCTTTGTTGGGTTAACAGAGTTTTGACCCTGCATATTACACATGTCCTTAGATTTCTTTGGCTGTTCATGAATTTTATATCTTTTATTTATTTTTTATTTTCTTGCTATATCTTTTACCTGCCGCGGTTTTACTGGGAACCTTGTGCAGTATTCTTGGAAGAGAGGTCATTAGTTGAACATTTCTATCTTGTTTTTGCTGTGCATCTTTAGTAATATATTGTGTAAAAATTTATTTTTATATTCAAAAACTATTGATCAAAGTTTTTAATATAACCAAAATGCCAAATAACTGAAACACAAGTACACAACCGCGCAAACACTTTTGGACATTTTGACCATATAGTTAGCCTATTTATTAGTGTGTATTGCTTTCTTTTATTGGAAATTGTAGTTCTTGAAACATATTACAGTTTTGGATATTTTGAGCCTATACTAACCAGAATGTGTGTTGCTTTCTTATGCGGGAATTGTAGTGGTATCATATGTTGTAGTATGATCTTGTGGACATGGACAAGGGTAATGATTCTTAATATCCTATAATGAAAAATGTTGTTCATAAAATTTATTACACTTTTGGATCTTTTGAGCCTATATCAACCCTATTTATTAATGTTTGTTGCTTATGTGGAAACGGTAGTGCTTTCATGTGTTGTAGTATGATCTCATGGACATGGAGACGAGGTTAATGATCAAGGCAAACCAAACCTTCTAATATATCTGATATGAATAGGGTTCAGAATATTTTACCAAAACAAATCAATATGCATTGAGAGCGCGTGAAAATTGGGATGATTGGGTGATGGTATCTTATCTTCTTTGATTCTAATTGTATCTTTATTTTCCTTCTCTCTCCTTATCATATTATTGTTACATTATTTCCTGTTTTACAGTACCTGAAATTTGAGATTATTTTAATTCGTAGTCACACCATGAATTGGAGTAAGCTTTTTTATTAGTTAAATAATATGAATGTCGTAGCTAGGGGGTTTTGTAAAGCCTTTTCAAGATATAAATCTCCGTTTTTCAAAATCAGTTTCAATGTGAACCTGATTTATATGAAGCATAGCCAAATATGAACACGAAAGCGCAATTTGTCACCATCACTTCCTTTTCTGCTCTGTGTTTCCTGTGATTCCAAGCCCTAAGTCATGCTTGACCTGCTCATGTTAATCCCAAATTACATTTTAGTTCATACTTGAGCTAGCAATTCCTTGTTTTGCTTAATCAACTTGCTTCCTGGCTGTCTATTGACTGTATTTGGCTGGTTCACGCCTTGATGGTTACTGCCCTATACTCATTTAAGAAAAAAAAGTTGGTGGCATACATTATTGACTTATCTCTTTTCTTGATTCCAACTGTGAAGTTGAACGTTTTCTTGTTATATGCTATGCGTTGGAAGTACATAAGCCAACGTACATAGTTAGGAGTCTCTCCTATTAGTTAAAACTACATCACAGTAGAAGTGTTTTATGTTAACTCACTATCTATCAGCACTGGATTAATTTAGATAGCATAGAGTTTTATTTTTATAAAGGTCCTTGATTTGTGGTGATGTTCAGAATTTTAAGTTAAATTCTAGTTGAATAATGTGACATTTTCACACAAAAATATGTAGATATATTATATTTACTATGTAACAAGTTTTTATTTTTGATGGTTCTGTCATTTGCAATATAGTAAATGTGAGTGGTGCTGGGGATTCAGGGTCTTTGATATAATGGAAAATTGATTGAGTAATGATCTTACCTGAAAGTTTTAAGTCTAGAAAATCAGAGAATCCTTTCGATATTCTTCTGTGTATAATTGGGATATACAAAAGATATATATTTTGTTGGAGAAACTATCTCTTACTGATATTTTCACTTGTGTACCACACCCAATTCATTGGGGGAATGTAGGTTGATGCAGTTGTTTACTTAGTGGATGCTTACGACAAGGAGAGGTTTGCTGAGTCAAAGAAGGAGCTCGATGCCCTCCTCTCAGACGAATCCTTGGCCACTGTACCATTCTTGATTTTGGGCAACAAGATTGATATTCCTTATGCGGCATCTGAGGAGGAGCTGCGCTTTCACATGGGATTAATGGGCATCACCACTGGCAAAGGAAGAGTCAACCTAGCAGACTCAAACGTCCGTCCAATCGAGGTGTTCATGTGCAGCATCGTCCGCAAAATGGGCTATGGCGATGGCTTCAAGTGGGTTTCACAATATATCAAGTAAACTGCTATCCAATAATGATTTTTATATGTTTATATTGCTGCCTGCAACTCTTGCCTGTTTGAAAACACTTGTGGATTAGCATCTCTTGTTATTGAACTGCAGCCTTAGGCTTCATCCTATGTGTATCTCATGGAGAGTTTTGATTGAATCATCGGAAATCACAATTTGTCATAATGATCGATTCATTCCTTGATAATCATATACATTGATTGTTTTAGTCGGGTGTCGTTACTTGGTATTTTATTTTATTTTATTTTTCATTTTCATTTTAGTTTAATTTTTATAAGCAAGATTTATGTATTGCTAAAGGCTGTGGTTAGGGTGCTAACAAATGTGAATTGTCAGCACTCTATCTTATCACCCCATGGTGAATTTATTAGTAGGGTAATACTATAATGTAATGTGCTGAATGAGTATTAATTATAGGTTGTTTGTCGCTATAAATATTATTAATGTAACCTATATGTCACGCCTGCCTGCCTGAATATGCAGTATTTTTAACAAATAGTAGTTCCAAATGATTTTAAAGTGATGTTTGTATCCGTATATATATTGCTAATTATATATCAATATTTGTTAATTTATTTGACTGGATAGTGTTAGAATGAATATTAATTTATTTTAATGTGGTACAAATTAAAAATAATTTACATAAATATTTTCTAAGGAAAAAAAATTATATAAAAATATTTTTAATATTAAGTACAAATGTGACATTTAGATGGGGATGGAGGCAGGCAGTATATATTATTGATGATGTATTAGCAATGGTTTTAATTAGATATATTAATATAATTTTTTATTTACACTAAAATTATAATTTTACTTTTAACTAAATAATAAATTTTAAATTAAACATTAAGGTAATGGTAAACAATTAATGAACACTATGCCGATTGATTATGGTTTTGTTGTACCCTCCACACCAATACAATCACTATACATAAATATATATATATATATATATAACTATATGTTATTACAATCAACAACTTCACTTCCTCATCCACTCCATTGTTGCCATTACACATTTTCATATATATATATATATATATATACAACTCATTCGTGCACATATATATCCCTACCAATCAATCCAACAAAACAATCTCTTAAATTACACCCAAAATCAGGCCTCAATACAAAATGACCAATCTACCCTCCCCCGCCGCCGCCGTTTTCTTCTTACCAATGCTGCTCTTCTCCATCATCACCACAGCCTCTGCACTCGATCCAGCCGCCGGCACCGGAACCAGCACCGGCGCCGGCGCCGGCGCGGAAGAACCTCCGGTCCTGGAATTCTTCATGCACGACATCCTCGGCGGCAGCAATCCGACGGCCCGACCAATCACCGGCCTGTTAGGAAACATCTACAGCGGCCAAATCCCCTTCGCCACCCCCCTCGGATTCCTCCCGCCGGACCAAAACTCCGTCGCCATTCCCAACCCCAACGGCGCTCTGCCGACCATAAACCCTAGCGGAATCCCCCTCGGCACCGGCCTCCTCGGCACCGCCTTCGCCGGCGGCGTTCCGGCCAACAACAACAACAACGGGCAGCCGCTCACCACCCAACTGGCGGCGGACGGACTGGGGCTGGCCTTCGGCACCATCACCGTCATCGACGACTACATCACGACGGCGCCGGAGTTGGGGTCCCAGCACCTCGGCAAGGCGCAGGGTGTCTACGTGGCGAGCTCCGCCGACGGGTCGACGCAGATGATGGCGTTCACGGCGGTGATGGAAGGCGGGGAGTACGGAGACAGCCTGAATTTCTTCGGAGTGTACAAGATTGGGAGCACAATGTCACGACTGTCGATCACCGGCGGCACCGGAAAATTCAAGAACGCGTGCGGGTTCGCGGAGCTCCGGTCTCTGATTCCGGCCGGCCAGCATGTCGCCGACGGCGTGGAGACGTTGATGAGGATCACTGTTCATCTTACTTATTGAGAGAGGATCTCTCTCATTTTCTTTTCTTTTGTTTTTTTTTTTTTTTTGCTTTTTTTCTTCTTTCAAATTTGATTGTGGTGTGAAATGAATCGATGAAATTAAAAAGATAAATCGTGTCTGTATGTATGTATCTATATGGTAAGTTTGCAACGAAATTCCTTTTAATTTGAGTGATTAGACAACAAACCACCTACCCTGACCATTTTGGGTATCTGTTCTGTTCCTACATTGTATTCAACGAGAGTATCTTGAGTTGACAACAAATTTTCTCCCTCACCAACATTATTGTTGGAACCTTCACTATTATGTAACCTAACCATTAATTGGTTGAAATACCCTAATCAATTTATCACAATTACTTATTTCTTCCATAATTAAATTTAAATAAAATAAAAAGTTTTTGGCTAACAATAGAGCCACAAAACAGAAGAATATTTCTAATGAAACACATAACCCTGCGCAGTGAGCCTACAGCCCTTACAAGGATATTTGTCTACCACAACTGTCCGCGAAATCGGAGGTACATATTCTGAATAAAGCACCATCTCTTCTACCCCTTCTGTAGAGCCGAACGGATTGGTACTGGCCTCCATGGTGAGTACCTGATCTCCTTCCCAAAACATAATCTGCTGATGGAGAGAAGAAGGCACACACTTGGAGGCATGAATCCAGTGTCGCCCCAAAAGGACTGAATAAGTAGTGTTGGCATCTACCACGAAGAAGACTGTTGAAATCACCTTTGGTCCGACTTCAATGGGTGCCACCATCATCCCTTCTGGTTTGGTCGGTTGTCCCGTGAAGCTTGTCATCTCGATATCTAGTGGAGACAGATCACCAATCCCTTTGCCCAATTTTCTCAGGGTTCTGAGAGGCATGACATTGAAGACGACCCAATTATCAATGAAAACCTTGTTAATCGGCTTACCACAAATGTGGGCATTAACATACAATGGTTTCAAACGAGGGATTGCTCATTCTGGTATACGCAGAAAAACCATAGGTGGGGGACTGCCAGACATCGCCGCCCATTCTGGTTCTTCTTCTTCCAGTTTCGCCCAGATGGGCTCTTCTTTTTCCTCGAACCATCGCATACCCGTCATCCTGACTTCAAACTCGGGTTTATCAATCTTCACTATCTTACTGCGCAAAGTTCTTGTTTCTCCAAGAGCGAACGTTCCAAAGACTATCTCAGGAGTCTCTTCCTCGACCTCTCCTACTTCAGGATCAATGTTGATCCATCTGCAAAATTGACACCGAAAGCATCTGGCTTTCTAAATGGGTTTTTCGATTTGCCAATGCTCCTGTGGTCGGTCGCTTGAGTTTTTCCTTTTGGGTGACGATTCCTTCCTCTCTTTCCCTTTATCTGCTCGCTTTCCATGTCGAGCTGCATACCTGCGCTTAGTATTATGAATTTTTGTACGATTCATACCTGGAAACCGAGGATCTATGTTTATTGGCAGAGGCTTTCTGTTCCTGCTCCATTGGTCATGGGCTGGCTGTGGTTTGCGCGTTGGTCGATCTCGTACTACAACTTTATCCTTCAACTCCACTTCGAAGGACCCATCTTCTTTATCCCATTTCTCTGCCACTCTGGTTTCGCAAATCTTGAACTTGTCTTCCTAACTATGCTCCCTCTCTTTGGGCTTACGCTCCTTTCGCTTGGTATTTTCTTCATCATCGCTTTGCGCATCTTGTGAAGAGCGCAGAGAAATCACAGTAGTAGTTACCTTAGGGAACGGCTGGTGCTCCACTCCCATTGTCACATACTTAAATCTCCCTGCTTTGATAGCCTTCTGTATTTCCTTTCGGAAATGCGTACATTGATTAGTGTAATGCGTAAAAGAATTATGCCACTTACAGTATGGCCTCCCTTTTATCTCTTCTTTCGTTGCTAAGCGTTGCCCTTTGGGGATGCGAATTTGCCCATCTGCTAGCAGAATATCAAAAATTTCGTCTGCCTTAGATGCATCAAAGGTCGGTTGTTCCTTCTCTTCCGCCCCCGGAAGAGGCTTTAGTTTGGAACAAACATAAGGCTTGCCTTTTACAATTTCAGCCGCCATTTCTTCAATGCTGCTTCCCTGCTCATCATCTGGCGCATACATTCTGTATCAACACTGGCCATCTGTTGGACCCTATTCCCCCGGAAGTTATGATCTTTTTCTCTAAAAAGATATTCTAATCTTCCTGCTTTGGAAGCCAAACTGGCCAGATCCTAAACATCGTGGGCTGTCAGCACCTCCCGGAGTCTAGTATGCATATTCTTGACCACTAAATTGGTCATCTCGCATTCTTCGATGATCGTCGGGCACCGTCCCTTTATTAGACGTATCCGCTCTATAAATTGATAAACAGTCTCTTCGGGCATCTGCCGGATCTCCAAGAGATCTGTGAGTGAGACCGTCGGGAGAGGATTAAAAAATCTTGCATAGAACGCGGCCTCCAGACCTTCCCAAGTCTGCAACTGTCCTGGCGGGAGACTGGCAAACCATGAAAAGGCGGTTCTTATGAGCGATAGTCCGAACAACTGTAATTTGTAAAACGAATCATTGCCCACTTCCCATAATTGAGACGTGAAGCGACCCACATGCTCAATAGTTGAGGCTCCATCTTCTCCCGTAAAAGAATGAAAATCGGGTGGTCTGTAATTCCTCGGGAGGGGGTGCTCATTGATGATTCTCTTTGGGAATGGCCTCTGATATGCCGGTCTGTTGACCGTTTGAGGATTCATTCCAAAATGCACCCTCAACACTTGAGCAATGTCTTCCGGATCTACCCTGGGTGGAACGGGATCGAATACCGGAATAGGATTGTGAGCCTGACCTCCCAATGTTTCTTCTCTAAGGTCGGTTGGTTCGGCCTTAACACCTAGTGGAACATTATTCGGGTATGTCAAAGGAGTTTTTCCCCTGTCAACCCTAGTAGCAGTAGCACTTGGAAAAGTACTCTCTATATATGAAGGACCTGCAAAATTTGCCTGTAATCTAGACGGTGACAACCCTGATGGAGACTGGGTGGGTTGAAGAGTAACCCTTGATAGAGCTTGATCTAGCATATTTTGCATAAGGTTTTGTTGCTCACGCAACATGTTTTGCAATGCCAGAGCTTGCTGATTGCTCAAATGTTGAACATAGGACACCCAATCGGTGGGTGGTTGGGGGATTTCCCCTGCATTTGGCATGACAGGTGGTACGGTTTCTCCCACCGGTGTTGAAGATGCTTGAGGCTGTGAGCTTGCCATATGGATCCTTCCGATGGTTCGGCCGGACCTCAGTCGTATGAAATTCTCTGTAGACGTAGGATCAACAATCTTTCCTCTCTCCCACTGTGGTCGCCAAATTATTGATGCTATTTTTCAACAATAAAAAGTAAAATCCGAAAATAGGGCAATATCTTCGAATTTGATATAATTAGTGCCTGAGATTAGGAATCTCTAAACACTGTAGGATAGATAAATAGACTAGGAAAATAAACTACGAACTGAAAAATAAAGTGGTGATCCCCAAAGGTAATTCTTTTGAATTTTTGTTGATTAAAGATGGTTTCTTAGGTCACGAACAGACCTATTTAAAACCGATGTCAACCGCCACTACCAAATCGTGCCTTCAAATCCGCTCATCGGTTGAAACTTCCTTCTAACTGCCCAAAAACTGTTTTTCCGCTCGACCTGCACACCTGTTGCTCCGTACTTGACCCAACCACGTCTGACCTCAACGCCCGACCTCATCACACCCGATCTCTGTGCCCGACCTTATCGCCTGACCGAATCACGCCCAATCTCTGACCCCGACCTGACCATGTCCGTCTTTCATGCCCGACCTTACCACATCCGATCTTAACGCCCGACTTTATCATGTCTGACCTTCGTGCCCGATCTGATCACATCTCACCTCATTGCCCGACCTTCGAGCCCGACTTGATCACGTCCGACTTCAGTGCCCGACCTTATCAGGTCTGACTTCTGCGCCCGATCTCTGCACCCGACCTTATCACACCTGAGCTCCGCGCCCGATCTCTGCACTCGACCTTATCACACCTGAGCTCCGCGCCCGACCTCTGCACCCAACCTTATCGCGTCTGAGCTTCACACCCGATCTCTGCACTCGACCTCTGCACCCGACCTTATCGCGTCTGAGCTTCACGCCCGATCTCTGCACTCGACCTTATCACACCTGAGCTCCGCGCCCGACCTCTGCACCCGACCTTATCATGCCTGAGCTTTGCGCCCGATCTCTGCACCCGACCTTGTCAAGCCGGAGCTCCGCGCCCGATCTCTGCACCCGACCTTGTCAAGCTGGAGCTCCGCGCCCGATCTCTGCACCCGATCTTACCATGCCTGAGCTCCGCGCTCGAACTCAGCACCCGACCTGATCACGCCTGAGCTCCGCGCCCGATCTCTGCACCCGACCTTGTTAAGCCCGATCTCTGCGCCCGACCTGATCACGCCTGAGCTCCACTTTCTCCCGAAGAAGCCTTTTCTTATCCGCGTTCGGACTTATATTCAAACTCTTTTTTTGAAATTCTACTGTCATTAACAAGCCCATTAAATTCTATTAATCCTTAACCTCATTTGACAGGCTCATTCTCAAAAACCTTACACATCATTTTTTGTGGTCAACAATAATATATAAATAGTAAAGCTTCAAAATTTCGAAAACTCATATTTTAAAAATATTATATATGTTAAAATATATTTAGAATAAATAATATATTATATTTATAATAGTTATTTTATTTAAAAGATGGCGGAGGCCAGCTGGCATGACGTCATTCTAACCATTAATCAGCTCATGAGGCTGTTTCAGAGCTCGGCGTGCCCCGTCGCGGTGCTTATATAGAATGAATCCGTAGCCCTTAGATTTCCCAGTGTTGTTGTCTTGGACAACCTTACAATCCGCGATCTCTCCGTATTTCCCGAACACGGAGGTAATAGTCTCCGAATTGGCATCCCAGCCGAGGCCGTGGACGAAGATTTTGCAGTGTGCAGGATGAGCATTGGCCAATTTATGCACAGCCTCCATCACATCAGGATCACGTTTGGCAACTGCTTCCTTGATCATAAGCGTCAGCTGGTCCTTGGAAAATGGTTCCAGAAGCTTCTCCAGAGGCTCTTCTTCCAATTCATCTTCTCCTTCGGCGGCCTTCTCTCCATTTTCAGAAACTGTGCCCTGAGATGGATTCTCCGCCGTCTCCTGTTCCGCCTCCGCCTCCGCCGCCGCCGCCGTCTCAATGTTCTCCGCTTGCTCCACCTCCTCCGGATTTCCGTAGACGGTCTCCTCCGTTGCTGGTTCAGTAGTTTGAGCGATTTCGGGTTCTTGAGGAGCCGCGGGGAGGAGGGATTTTCGCTCTCTGGCCATGGCGATTGGGGAAAAAGGGGCTAGGGTTTTTATGGGTAAGGTCAGTTAGGGTTTGATCTGGATTATATATTTTTTTCGGTCATTTTTTATTCGATTATAAATTGAGTTTGAGGAGATGTGTTAAAATATATTTAGAAGTAATATATTATATTTACGGTAGTTATCTTATTTAAAAGATTCGTAGGATTTTTGTCTTATTTAGAGGACTTGCATATATTATATTTATAATAGTTATCTTGTTTAAAAGATTGGTAGGATTCTTGTCTTATTCAGAGAATTTGTATATCACTATATGTACATATTATAGAGAATTTCAGTTTCTATATTCTAACAATATATAATATAGTTTTGGATGTTCCGAATCGCATTGGTGGCTTTTATATATTGAAAGTATTATGTATAATATAGCTTCGGAACATTCCGAGACTTGTAGCAGTACCGATGGAATGAATTCAGACATTTTGTACTTGTTAAATATAAAAAATATTATATATTATATAGACTCGGAATTTCTGAAATTGATAAAAAAAAAAAAAAATTATAAAATTGAAATGATTTGATAACAGTACCGGAAGTCTTTGGGAATAATTTTGCAAGGTTGTTTCTAAAAATTATGGTAGTATACACATACAATAATATTGCATTGATTACAATGAGATTATTGACAAAAAATATTTCTCTAAATAAATATCAATATATTACAAATAAATTAAGTTAAGCATGATGATCATGATCATGATCATTGATCAGACCAAGTGATATCCAATTCTCCCCAGTCATCCTCCGCCACCCCCAAAGCCTTCCAGACAGCTTTGGAGGCGTCGACGATGTTGTTCCGACACGGCGGCTGGTAGTCGTGATCTTCGTCGCAACCCACGGTGGAGTCGCACTCGTCCACCACCGTCGCCACGACGCGCCGCCCGTTCCCGGTGATGCTGATGTTCTTGTGGCACCTGCGCCCTCCGCCGTACCATCCCGTCGACAGCGCCAACACGGGCGTGTTGTCCGAGTGGTACCTCTTGTCGCACTCCGACGGCCCCCCGCCGTCTCCGCCCTTCTCGAAGCTGTTGATGGTCAGGACCGCCCTCGTGGCTCCCGACACGGCGGGGGAACATTTGTAGGTGGTGTAGAGCTTCCCGTCCTTGCAGCAATCGGAATCGTTCTCCTGGTTGCACTGCCCCGGCGGCGGCTTCTTTCCCCGGATTTTGCCACTGGGCTCGCAGGATTGGAGGTGAAGCCTCGCCGCCATTAATGGCACTGCAAGAATGAGTAGACTGAGAAGAAGACTGACGATCGTCTTCATTTTGGTTAATTTGATCGATTCTTCAATGCTGGTGTACCTTTGTATATATGATTGATTGTATACATGTGGGAGACATATATATATATATATATACGGAGAGAGAGAGAGAGAGAGAGAGAGAGAGAGAGAGAGAGAGATATTAATTAATGTTAAACATTAATGTTCTTGTGGCACCTGCTCCCTCCGCCCTAACCGTATATTTACTTTTAATTAAAATTAAATAAATTTAACAACTTAAGCTACAAATTAGAAGGTATTGAACTGTTTTTGGTAGCAATTTTTTTTTTCCCCATTAACAATTATTTTTATTATTTAATCCTTGATTTTATATAAGAATACATCATATTTTTTTCTCATAAATCATTACATTCCAAACTATTGTTCAAACCTTTAAAAAAAAAAAAATAAGAGTAAAATTATAAACTGAACACACCATGATATTGTTCAAGGTCAATATTATTGTATTTGTTAATTAAGATTCGATTAAATTAATTGTCAACCTTAAAGCTTCATAAATTCTTTATATTGGGGTTGGAGGATTGTATTGTAATTTACATCAAAGCCCAATATGACCCAAGAAAATATGGGCCCAAGCCCAATACTTTAGTCGCGTTTGTTGAATTTGAAGTCGCATTTATGATTTAAGCGATATAATTGCAATCGGTGTCTGCCTTTCGTCTTCGCCTTTATCCGGCCGAGCCTGCACGGGTGACGGGACATTCTTACTGTGGCTCCTCCGAATTTCTTCCGAGTGCTGGGGTTTGGTTTTTGGAGGATTTCTCCGGTCGCCAGCAAGTAAGCTTTTCGAATTTGCTTTATCTGCTTTTTAGTTGTGATTTTTATTTTTATTTTTAATTATGCTTTGGCATATTTTTGAAACCCTGGGGTGAACTAGCCAATGTTTGATATATTTTGGATGTCTAAATAATTGTTTTCAAAGATTCCTTTCTTCTGGTAGTTTTGGGTAGTGTCTCAGCTACAGAATTTATGCTGAAGATGAGGATTGAGGTCATACTTGAGCTGAAATGAATTGTTACAGAGTTGTTGATTTAAGCACTAGGTTTTTGTTGCAAATGAGTTTAAGATTTTAATCAGATGTTCAGAAAAGCTATTGATTAGTGAATTTTATATCTGCGTTTGATTTGTACGTGTTTGAATCAGCTTGGTTTGTGATTCTGGAAGCGGTTCTATGTAAAATGGATTATTGAAGGTTTGGGGTATTTTCAGGAATCCAGAGCTGCATAAGTTTTTGGTGAGCGTTTGCTACTAAAATGGATAACTGTGAAGATATAGGGATTAGCACTGCTACATCTTCCAAACCATCGAGGAAGAGGAGGAGCCATTTGAACCGTCGTCCTCCTAACGAGCTCGAATCCCCTCCAGAGTATCGTGATTCTGCTTCATTGTCATCAACACCGTCCGACCATGTTAGTTATGCACTGAGTGAAGGCAACAACACTCACGAAGATATCAATTGGAAAAAGGGACTTACGAGGGCGTCATTTACTAACCTAGCCGATGCTGAAAAAGTGCATACAAATCATGATGAGGATGGGACTTTCAGAGCAGTGGATGATTTGAAAAGCTCTGCTGAAGGTGACCCTGCTGCCGCCGCCTGGAACGGTATAAAAATGGAAAACTGTACTGTGAGTGAGACTGTGACCGGCACTAACCATTCTGGGCAACCGGGAACATTGTCTGATGTAGCTGGAACTGGAAACAAATTCAATAAGGTCAAGCTCAAGGTTAGGGGTGTAACCCATACACTTCAGGCACGATCCAGCAGTGTTGATGGTTCTTCGGTGTCTGGAACTTCGGTCACGAAGTCGACTCCTTCAGATGCTGTTTATCCTTCGGATAAGCTAAGCCATCAGGTAGTATTTTCTCTTGGATCAATATTTATATTCAATTGCAGTTGTCATGAGACTTGGTGGTAAATATTAGAGAATTTACAATATAAATAAATATAGAATGATACATTTACCTGTCTTATTAAGCTGTAATATGAGGTGGTGTTTAAGACAGTAGGTCGGTCTTCAAGAACGCCTTGAGCTTTTTTAGGTAGTTTTTTCTTTTTTCATCTGTCAGAACTTTGCACTCATATCATGTAATTCACTAGTAATCGAAAATGCTGTATGTTCTACTTCAGACTAGTTAATATATATATATATATATATATATATATTAATGTAGTTGAAGAAACTAAATTCTAAAAACAGTATGAAAGTTAGAGATGTCAACTTTCGATGGCGCGAAATGACTGTCGTATGTGCAACTTTCTTCTACTCAATTGATGCATTTTAGCATTTAGTTACCTCTAAATTTGTTTTATTATTGTTGTTATTTTCTTGCACAAATGAATTCACAGGTCATTTTTCCTCATAATGACTTAAATATGCTATCCTGCCTGCATTGGACATGTCCCTTGAATCTGATTAGGTAACCAAGTATGATTATCTTCTTTAAGCAGGAAAATTTTGAATCACGTTCAACGGGCGAGAAGCGTGGCCTCCGTGGTGTGCCATGGAAAGATTTTTCAAAAATTGGTTTTAGTTTTGGGAAAACTGAAGATTCATTGAGGGTGGACTTACCAGAAATATCTGACAAAAAACCTTTGAAGCACAGGCGTTTATCTAAAGCGAAATCTCGATATTTGTCAGCTTATGAGGATGTTGATGATGAAGATGATGGTGAGATTCAGTATCTTCAGAAGCTTAAAACTTCGAAAATTGCATCCTCTGATAGTACAGATTATGAAGAAGAACCCAGAGGCAAAAAATTGCGGAAGATCTCCAGGGTAATGGATAGGAGAGTCGATGGCTATGGTTCGAGCATTGCAGATTTTAATTCCTCAAGGCCAGCGTCTAAAGAAAGTAAGAAATCAAAGTCCTTACGAGCATCAGAAGATACTGACTATATGGAGGAGGAAGAATCGGTATCTGATGGTGAGATTGAAAACAAGAGCAAGAAACATATGAAGGAGCCGATTGATGTGGTGGAATATTCCAAGCCGGAAAGCTCGATAACTACCCGCAGGAGAGCAATTCTTACTGGTAAAGATGTATCAGCATCAGGCTTAGGTTCTAGTTCCATCCAATTTCCAGATGGACTCCCTCCCGCCCCACCAAGAAGTGAGCCTTCTCTATTTTCGATAAACTTAAAAATGGCTTTCCTATTCTAATATTTCTTATGCTTACTGTGCTTATTCGGTTCTTTTCCGCAGAACCAAAGGAACAGCTTACTGAAGTGGAGCAACAACTGAAACGAGCTGAGGCTGCTCAACGACGTAGGATACAGAATGAGAAGGCTGCTCGGGAATCTGAGGTTTGCTTTCCTTGTCTGGATGAATTTGTGTACAAAAATAAAGTGTCCTTATCGATATTCATTGCAGGCCGAGGCAATTAGGAAAATTTTGGGTCAAGATTCCACGCGGAAGAGACGAGAGGAGAAAATTAGGAAACGACAGGAGGAACTAGCACAGGTAAATGTCATTCAAAGGACATCTTGTAACTTCAATTCTTCGATCGTTTGCAACTAATCATGCAGTATGATGTAGGAAAGGAATGCGAATTTAGGCTCGATTCCATCTACTGTTGTTAGATGGGTCATGGGACCTTCAGGGACAGTCGTAACATTCCCCAGTGAGGTTGGCCTCCCGAGTATATTTGAAGCCAAGCCTTGCAGGTACTGAATTCAAATGCGCGCATTACTTGCATATCATTAGAATGGCCGCGTAAACACACATAATAATTTAGTTTGGTCATAACTTTGTCCTCATCTTTGATTCATGTTTTCTTACTCGACTTTTCAGCTATCCGCCTCCACGAGAGAAATGCGCAGGCCCTTCGTGCACAAACGCATACAAGTACAGAGATTCCAAGTCGAAGCTTCCTCTTTGCAGCCTTCAGTGCTACAAGGCAGTACACGAGAAGCTTCGATCTCTACCTGCCTGGTAAATCAATCTGCGAAATCTGTTAAGTTTAGCGAATGTATGTAAGAAAGATAAGAGTGTTCTGTGGAACAAATTTATGATGTTTTTTGTCAAGTAGCTTTTGAAATTAGACGACGAGAAGAACAGTTTAGCGCCCTGGAATCGAATATTCTGAGGTATGTACAGTGTAGAACACACTCTTGTCAAGAAACACCAATCAGCCATTTCCTTCCAACAAAAAAGATCGAAACATGCCCCGGCGAGCCGAAGAAATTCATTGGCGTGTGAACGATAACGATTCGAGGACCAACCCGGCGAAACTAAATCAGAGAGGATCGACAATGCGGCTAAAAGGCACAGGTTTGGATTTCGAAACCAAGTACCCAACATAGATCGATACGCAGAAGGCGACGACGGATAAGAGCAAAGCGAAGCCACTGGCAGCATCCCATGCGCCATTTCCCGACGCCATTTTTACCCGCCTGGAGAAACCCGGAGCAATCTCCAACGGCACCCAGTCGCAGCTCACGGTATAATGCGCCGAACCGTGCCACGGATTTCCATCCGTCGGATACCAGAACGCAACCGAAAACTTGCTCGTTTGGCCAATACTGAACTGCGCATCCTGGATAGATGTACTCATAGAGTAAACACATGTATCGATCGAGCTTATATCGAACAAAATATTGAGAAAACCTGTTGGAGACGATCCGTAGTTCTCAGACGCCGGGAGAATTCGAAGTAATAGGTGCCTTTCTGATCCGAAGATCCATAAGGACTATCATCCTCAATGAACCCTGTAAGACACATTAATTTGATCGTAAATTCGTGAACTTGCCCAAATTGAACCACATTCGACAACTTTATTAGGAAAATCGAAATACTTGCCCGAGTGTACAGAAAAACTGCTGTGCCACCAAGAACCTTTCCAGTCATCGAAAGTAGCCGAGTCATTTCCTACAGGATGCGTAAATTTCATTAATGTAAACAACTAATTCTTCGATGAAACAACGACGAAAACATGAAGAATACCGTCAATGTTCCTACAGTGTGGATTCCACGAATGCATATCGACAAGACCCGATCTGTTCGATAAAAAAGAACCACATTGATCAACAATCGATGACGAAAGGATTAAGATGAACAGAACAAAAATGAAATCCCAGCAACACATACCCATCTTGTTTACCCTCTCCATTAACCGAATTCGAACTGTATAATCTTCCCGGAATAGAATTCCCGATGGAGAAGTGCATGATATCGACTTCATAGCCACGGCAGCTTGTGCTGTTGCATGTATTCGGAGATTCCTTACATCCTCCCATCTAAGGTAGAGAAATTAACGATACCTCAAATGACAAATACGATAGAATTAAAATCAAATAGTAATAACTTTATAAGAAACCAAAGATCTTACATTGTGATACGTCGCGCTTTCACCGACTTGAAACATCAAAGCTACCGATGGGCATTTGTGGTCATCTCTGCACGACTCAATCATACGATAAAAGTATTAAATCGAGTTCTTTGTTTTCGTTCCACGGAGTTGGAAGAGTATATAATACGTGATTATTTAACACAAGAAACTTTTACATTTCTATTGCGCCTCACTTAATCGATTTCGGATCCAAAGTATCATTTAATAAAACCACCTTGAAAATTTTCTTATATAATATGTATGAAATTAATATAATGTGTTATGCTATATATTGTATTAACATGTATGAGTTATATATTATTATATAATGTGCTACTTTCTTTATAAATATATACGGATTCAAATCAGCATAGTAACCAATGCGCATTACAAATATATTTCTAGAGTCGATAATTTTACAACAAAACTACGAGCTCAATCAATTGATGTTGTTGCTCTATGGTGTTCTTTTAGGCCTATCCTATTTCAAGATTTACTCAAATTGGATCAGCAATCGATTTCTAAGCTAAATAATCTAAAAACAACTAAGCATAAATAGCAATGATGTTGAAGAAAGAAACACTGAATGTAATAAAAAGAATCTATCGATGCAAGAAAACCAAAGAAAGATGTTCGAACAAATTAAGGATCGATAAGATAACTGACCCTTTGGAGTATTTATAAGATCCATCAATTTGCAACATGAAGAACACATCCACTCCATCGTGCAAAGCCTGTGAATCATCAATAAATCTAATTATTATCCTTTCCTAAATCCCCCCTCCCAAACAATAATACAAAAAACAATTCGACATCTGAAGCCTTAAAATCCCCGAATAACTACAAAAAATCAATGGCGGCTAGGTTACCTTAACGGTCATTTTTCCAGCTGGGTACTCCTTATCTTCGTCGGGATCGAGAGCAGGGCGCAGCGGGAACTCGAATCCGTCGACGGCGGCCCAATCGTCGGCGTGGCCGTCGAGAGTGACGATTCCCGGCAGGAAATCGGCGGAGATTCGGGCCTCTCCGTCGGAGTCGCAGTGCCAGTCGCCGGAGTCTTGGTGCGCCGCCGCGAAGCTGGAAACGGCGAGGCAGCCGAGGAAGAGCTGGAGAAGAGATGGAAGCGCCATGGGGAGAGTCCAGTACAGAGAGAATCTCCGGAGTCGCCAAGTTTGAATCTTCGAATCGAATTTAAGGGTTGACCTGTCTCTCAGTTCAACTGAGACAAGACAACTGATTAATAGGTGTGGGCAAAAAAAAAATCGAACGGAATCGTCGAACCGTTGAATCGAACTAAATCGAATCGAATTTTTGGTTAACCGAGCAATTCGAATACAAATACTGCATATTTGATATTTGTTAGGTTCAGTTCGATTTCGATTTTTCATATTTTTTTCGGTTCAGTTAATCTAACCGAATATATTCATGTATTTATAATATTATATTTTAAAATTTATATTATTAATTATATACGGCGGTTTCGGTTCGAATATTTGAAATATTTGCAAATATTTTTTATTTAATTAGAATTTTAATTTTTTTTTATATATTTTTTCTTAATTTTGGTTCGGTTCGAATTATTTGCAAATACTACAGATACTTTCGGTTAATCGAGATTTTCGTTTCAAATACGGTTCGAGATTTTGGATATTTATTCGGTTCGGTTATCAAATACCTACATATTTGCAAATAATCGAACAGTGTCCACCCTACTGATTACTCATGCTGTAAAATCAAATGTAGTAGTAATAAAAAATAAATAATAAATAATTAAAAAAATAAAAATAAAAACAATGTAGTAGTAATAAAAACTTCAATTAAAATTATTCAGATCAGTTAATTCTTAAGCAATAAAACAGGACTGATTATGGTATTCAATTAACCCTACATTGCAGTATTGATATAAACCATGCTTCTTTATTCGGCTGATACATTTCTTATCCGAACGATTTGACCTAAAATCATTTTTAGTCGCGTATAATATCATAAATATTAATTTTGATTCTATTTTTCGTATTAATTTTAGTGATAAAAGTTTATCAATTTTAGTCTCATAGTTAGTTGGCTGATAGTAGACACAACCGTATTGGATGATTCAAAAAATAACTAGGCACCCCAGACAGCCAACATGACTATGTTGATTATTGAACATGGCCGTGTTCATGACCATGCGGCCATGTTGACTCTATTTTCAATATAGTCATATTGTATTTATAAAATAATTTGATATATAAATTTATAATTTAACAAAAATATTTTTAGCAATTATTTCATAAATATAAAAAATAATCAAATTTAATATTTTAAAAAACTAATGAAATTTTAATATTTCATCCCCTGCCCCACTATGACCATCATCACACACCCATTTATAAATACATACACACTCATTTATTTATATATGGGTGTGTGTGGGGCAGGGAGAGAATGATGTTAAGGATCCCCTCCCCTAGACTTTATAGATACACACTCATGTATCTATACATGGGTGTGTGATGATGCTGAGAGTGGATGATGTTGAAGATCCCCTCCCCTTCAGCATCCCCTCACATAGATAAGGGGAGGGAATCATCAACATCATCCACTCTCAGCATCATCACACACCCATGTATAGATATATGGGTGTGTATCTATAAAGTTGATTTCATAGATACACACTCATGTATCTATACATAGGTGTGTGTAGGGCAGGGGGGATGATGCTTAGGATCCCCTCCCCTTAAGGGGATGGGAGGGGATCCTCAGCATCATCCCCTTGCCCCACTCTCAGCATCATCACACACTCATTTATAGATATATGGGCGTGTATCTATAAAGTTGATTTCATAGATACACACTCATGTATCTATACATACGTGTGTGAGGGGTAGGGAGGGATGATGCTGAGGATCCCCTCCCACTCTTAGCATCATCACACACCCATGTATAGATATATGAGCGTGTATCTATAAAGTTGATTTCATAGATACACACTCATGTATCTATACATAGGTGTGTGTGGGGCAGGGAGGGGATGATGCTGAGGATACCCTCCCATAGATAAGGGGAGGGGATCCTCAGCATAGTGGGGCACGAAGGGGATAATGCTGACCCTTATCTATGGGAGGGGATCCTCAGCATCATCCTCTGCCCCACTTTCAGCATCATATAAATGGGTGTGTGATGATGCAGAGAGTGGGACATGTATATACATGAGTGTGTATCTATAAAGTTGACTTTATCGATAGACATTAATGTATTTATACATAGGTGTGTGGGGCAGGGAGGGGATGATGCTGAGTATCCCCTCCCATATATAAGGGGAGGGGCCTACTCCACTTTCAGCATCATCACACACCCATGTATTTATACATGGGTGTGTATCTATAAAGTTGACTTTATAGATACACACTCATGTATATATAGAAAGGTGAGTGTGGGGCAGGGAGGGGATGATGTTGAGGATCCCCTCCCAAAGATAAAAGGGAGGGATCCTCAGCATCATCCATCATGCACCACTCCCAGCATCATCACACACCCATGTATAGATACATGAGTGTGTATCTATAAAGTTGTATATATACATAGATGTGTGTGGGGCAGGGAGGGGATGATGCTGAGGATCCCCTTCCACAGATAAGAGGAGGGGATCCTCAGCATCATCCTCTACCTCACTCTCAGCATCATCATACACCCATGTATCTATAAAGTTGACTTCATAGATACACAATAATGTATCTATACATAGGTATGTGTGGGGCAGGGAGGGGATCCTCAGCATCATCCCCCTGCCCCACTCTCAGCATCATCACCCACCCATGTATAGAAATATGGGTGTGTATCTATAAATTTGACTTTATAGATACACACTAATGTATCTATACATGGGTGTGTATGGGGAAGAGAAGGTATGATGTTGAGGATCCCCTCCCATAGATAAGGGGAGCGGATCCTCAGCATCATCCCCCATACCCCACTCTTAGCATCATCACACACCCATGTATAGATACATGAGTGTGTATCTATAAAGCCATGTATCTATACATGGATGTGTGTGGGGCACGGAGGGGATGATGCTGAGGATCCCCTTCCATAGATGAGGAGAGGGGATCCTCAGCATCATCCCGCTGCCCCATTCTCAGCATCATCACACACCCGTGTATAGATACATGTGTGTGTGTCTATAAAGTTGACTTTATAGATACACACTAATGTATCCATACATCGATGTGTGTGGGGCAGAGAGAGGATAATGTTGAGGATCCCTTCCCATAGATAAGGGGTGGGGATCCTTAGCATCATCCCTCATACCCCCACTCTCAGCATCATCACACACCCATGTATAGATACATGAGTGTGTATCTATAAAGTTGACTTCATAGATACACACTCATGTATCTATACATGGATGTGTGTGGGGCCGGGAGGGGATGATGCTGAGGATCCCCGTCCATAGATAAGGGGAGGGGATCCTCAGAATCATCCCCTGCCCCACTCTCATCATCATCATGGGTGTGTGTCTATAAAGTTGACTTTATAGATACACACTAATGTATCTATACATAGGTGTGTGTGGGGAATGGAGGGGATGATGCTGAGAATCCCTTCCCATATATAAGGGGAGGGGCCTACCCCACTTTCAGCATCATCACACACCCTTGTTTAGATACATGGTTGTATACACTCATGTATCTATACATGGATGTGTGTGGGGCAGGGAGGCGATGATGCTGAGGATCCCCTTCCATAGATAAGTGGAGGGGATCCTCAGAATCATCCCCTGCCCCACTCTCAGCATCATCACACACCCATGTATATACATGGGTGTGTATCTATAAAGTTGACTTTATAGATACTTGGTTGTATACACTCATGTATCTATACTTGGATGTGCGTGGGGCAGGAGAGGATGATGCTGAGGATCCCCTCCCATAGATAGGGGGATCCTCAGTATCATCCTCTGCTCCACTCTCAGCATCATCACACACCCATGTATCTATACATGGGTGTGTATCTATAAAGTTGAGTTTATAGATACATACTCATGTATCTATAGATAGGTGTGTGTGGGGCAGGGAGGGGATGATGTTGAGGATCCCCTCCCAAAGATAAAAGGGAGGGATCCTCAGCATCATCCGTCACGCCCCACTCTCAGCATCATCACACACCCATGTATAGATACATGAGTGTGTATCTATAAAATTTACTTTATACATACACACTCATGTATCTATACATGGATGTGTGTGGGGCAGGGAGGGGATGCTGCCGAGGATCCCCTTCCATAGATTAGGGGAGGGGATCCTCAGCATCATCTTCTGCCCCACTCTCAGCATCATTACACACCCATGTATATATATGGGTGTGTATCTATAAAGTTGACTTTATAGATACACACTAACGTATCTATACGCTGATGTGTGTGGGGCAGAGAGGGGATGATTTTGAGGATCCCCTTCCAAAGATAAGGGGAGGGGATCCTCAGCATCATCCCCTGCCCCACTCTCAGTATCATCACACACTCATGTATCTATACATAGGTGTGTATCTATAAAGTTGACTTTATAAATACACACTCATGTATGTATACATAGATATGTGTGGGGCAAGGAGGGGATCCTCAACATCATCCCGCTGCCCCACTCTCAGCATCATCACACACCCGTGTATAGATACATGGGTGTGTATCTATAAAGTTGACTTTTTAGATACACACTAATGTATCCATACATCGATGTGTGTGGGGCAGAGAGAGGATAATGTTGAGGATCCCTTCCCATAGATAAGGGTGGGGATCCTTAGCATCATCCCTCATACCCCCACTCTCAGCATCATCACACACCCATGTATAGATACATTAGTGTGTATCTATAAAGTTGACTTTATAGATACACACTCATGTATCTATACATGGATGTGTGTGGGGCCGGGAGGGGATGATGCTGAGGATCCCCGTCCATAGATAAGGGGAGGGGATCCTCAGAATCATCCCCTGCCCCACTCTCATCATCATCATAGGTGTGTGTCTATAAAGTTGACTTTATAGATACACACTCATGTACGTATACATGGGTGTTTGTGGGGCATGGAGGGGATCCTTAGCATCATCCCTTGTGCCCCACTTTCAGCATCATCACACACCCGTGAACTTTATAGATACACACCCATGTATCTATACATGGATGTGTGTGGGGCAAATTGGGGTTGATGCTGAGAATCCCCTTCCATACATAAGGGGAGGGAATCCTCAGCATCATCACACACCCATGTATAGATACATGTGTGTCTATCTATAAAGTTGACTTTATAGATACGCAGTTATGTATCTATACATGGGTGTGTGTGTGGCAGGGAGGGGATGATGCTGAGGATTCCATCCCAAAGATAAGGGGGGAGGGGTATTCTCAGCATTATCCCCTTACCCCACTCTTAGTATCATCATACAACCATATATAGATATATGAGCGTGTATCTATAAAGTTGATTTCATAAATACATACTCATGTATCTATACATAGTTGTGTGTGGAGCAGGGGGGGATGATGCTGAGGATCCCATAAATAAAGGGAGGGGATCCTCAGCATCATCCCCCGTGCCCCACTTTCAGCATCATCACACACCTATGTGTAGATAAATGGGTGTGTATCTATAAAGTTACATGGATGTGTGTGGGGCAGGGAGGGGATGATCCTGAGGATCCCCTCCCATAGATAAGGAGGGATCCTCAACATCATCCCCCTGCCCACTCTCAGTACCATCACACACTCATGTATAGATACATAAATGTGTATCTATAAAGTCTTTATAGATACAAACTCATGTATCTATACATGAGTGTGTGTGGGGCATTGAGGGCATGATGCTGAGTATCTCCTCCCATAAATAAGCGGAGGGGATCTTCAGCATCACTCCCCTGCCGCACTCTCAGCATCATCACACATCCATGTATAGATAAATGAGTGTGTATCTATAAAGTTTACTTTTTAGATATACAGTCATATATCTAAACATGTGTGTGTGGGGCAGGGAGGGGATGATGCTGTGGATCCCCTCCCATAGATTATGGGAGGGGATCCTCAACATCATCCCTCCTGCCCCACTCTCAGCATCATAATACACCCATGTATAGATACATGGGTTCGACTTTATAGATACACACTTATGTATCTATAAATGGATGTGTGTGGGGTTGAGAGGGGATGATGTTGAGGATCCCCTCCCATAGATAAGGGGAGGGGATCCTCAGCACCATCCCTCTGCCCCACTCTCAGCATCATCACACACCCATGTATCTATACATGGGTGTGTGTGGCAAGGAGTGGGTCCTCAGCATCCCTTCCCATAGATAAGGGAATATGATCCTCAGCATCATCCCCCGTCTCAACATCATCACGGAGTGGATGATGCTGAGGATCCCCATGTACAGACAAGGGGAAGGGATCCTCAGCATTATCCCCCTGTCCACCTTCAGTATCATCACACACTCATGTCAGCTTTTATATATTTTTTTTTAAATAAAAAAAATTTTAAAAAAATTTTAATTTATAATTTTAGAAATATAAAAAATTGGTCTGAACATAGCACGAAAAAATAATACTTAAGCTTAAAAGAATTGATCTGAAAATTTTCAGACATGCCTGGCCGACTCGACTTTATAAAAAGGTATTTAAAATAAATATATTGTATAAATATATTAACAAATAAATATATGTTAAAAATTGAAGTATAGTATAATAGTTGTGATCTTGTATTATTGTTAATAGATTATGGGTTCATTTCCTATACTTGGTCATTTAAAATTCTATTAAATTGTTCTCCCTCCGTCCACTTACAAAATTTACATTTACTTTTAGCGCGGTGTTTAAGAAATAATAGTATTTTAATTATAGTGAGTAGTTAAAAGTAGTGTAATGACATTTTTGTCCTTACTTTTTTTGTGTAAAAGTAATGATGTAATGTAAAGTAAGGGTATTTGTGGAAAAAAGTAGGGTATTTAATGAAATGTTAACTTTGTAATTGGACGTCCCAAAATAGAAATATGTAAACATTGTAAGTTGACGGATGAAGTATTAGATATGACAATATGTTTATTATTCCTTCTATTCTAGTTTTTTTTTTCGCGTTAGTGTAAATATAAGAATTTATGTAAAATATAATTAATAAGTAATTAAAAAATGTATTAGTAAAAATAATTATTTATAATAAAAATAATTATTTATAATAAAAATAATTATAAAATAAGATTAAAATAACTAAATAATTTAATTAAAATTAAAAAATTATAAATTTAAAATATGATTAAAATGTATAATTTTATTTTAAAATAAAAAATAAATTATATGATACGGATCGAAATTAAAAAAAAAAAAATTGAATATTTTATTTTATATAAAACAAAAGAAATATTAAAGTGTGCTTGTTTTGAAAAATAATACAAAGGCATGTTAAATATAAAAAAATTATATAAATAATAAATATGTATAATATATTTTTTTTTTCTCATAAAATGGAGAAAATAACAAAAATAAAATACCCCTAATGGCTTCATTCATGTTTTTAAATGAAAGTATAAAATATTCTCCCTCCGTTCCGTAACTATAATCTTAATTAGTTTAGACACGAAATTTAAGAAATATTGATATTATATTAGTAGTTGATAAAAGATTTTTTTGTTCTTGTGAGTGTATTAGTGTAAAAAGTAGTGACAATTTTGTAATAAAAATAAAAAAGTAAGGGTAGTTTTATAGTGATATGATTATTTATAAAAATAAGAGTATTGTTTTGAAACGGATAAAAATGGTAAATAAGACTATTTTTATTGGGACGGAGGAGTATTATTTTAAATTGAATATTTTACTATTTATTGTATTGAGTATTTGAAATTTATTTTGATTTTTTAATTTTCATAAAAAAAAAAATAGTATTATTTATTATATTATTTCTGAAAAATCACAATTTAAAAAATTGGGGTGTGTTTTTTTTGGTTAAGTTTGAAAAATTTTGGTTTGAATTTGATATTAAAATAATGTTTGATGAGATATTTTTGTAAGAGAAAAAAAATATACTCCCTCCGTCCCACATAATTTATTCCTATTTTCTATTTTCGTTCGTCCCATATAACTTGTTATTTCTATTTTGGAAATATAATTATGCATTTTAATAGCATTTTAAATTTTAATAATTTTCTTAATTTTAATTAAACTATTTATTTATCTTAATCTTAATATATAATTATTTTTACTAAATAATACTCCCTCCGTCCCAAACACCATGCAACATTTTCCTTTTTGGTACGTCCCAAACACCCTACAATATTTCCAAAATAAAAAATAATTAATTATACTTAATCTCTACCCCACATTTTATCTCATCCCATCACACAAATAAAAAAAATAAAAAAATATATATTTCTCTCTCCATCACATCACCTAATTTCTAAATTATACTTAGTACTACCCACCTAAAAACTTGTGCCCAAAACAAATATTGCACCTTGGGAGATGGAGTAATTATTTTTAGTAATACACTTCTTAATTACTTATTAATTATATTTTATCTAATTCTCATGTATACAGTAATACACCCATATTACGTGGGGTGAATGGGGTATTTTTTACAAAATAAAATAAAAAAATAATAATAATAATAAATTCAGACTCCAAATAATAAAATTTGAAAAAATTGGGATAAAAAAACATAATCAACGCAGCATTAGCAAAAAGCAACCACTTAAAAATTTAAATAAAAGGCTGTGTAAGTACAGTGGAGAGGTGGAAACTGTACGAATTCCACAAACCACGAAGAAGCCCAAATTCCGGTGAAAATGGAGAAGACGACAACCGGCGACGGTGTAGGCGGAATATTCTCCAGTGAAAAAATGCCGGAATCCGTTGCGGTTTCTGCCTGTGCTGAAAAATCCGCAAGGGATCATTTCTACGAGAAGCTTGGCAAATTAAACGAGCTTTCAGGGCTCAGCTTCGTGTACGTGACCCAACCTTCGTCTTCCCAATTTCTTTTCTGCATTTTAACTTTCCATTCTAAAGCTACATGGTCAAATGCAACAAACTCCTAAATAGGCATTGATCTATGTGAGAACTGAACGGCGCCGGCGCCGGCGCCAATCCATGCATGCATATGGATTTCGGAAGAATCAATGTTGTTTCGGAGTAAAAATCGATGGAAGTTTCGTTATCGTTAACGCCGTAGAATATCGAAGTTATTTTCCCCTGTGTGATTGTATAACTGTAACCCTAATTTTGATGTTGTTGGAACTCGAAGATGAACCCTAATTTTATGAGAAAGTGGAATTGGGGATTGCACTGTACTATTACAACAATACGTTGAGAAGAATTGTAATAAGAAAACAAAATGATAGGCATTACCTTTGTTTAGGAGGCACTTTGCATAAGAACTTTGATTTGATATTCGTATATCCATGCTTGATTGATCATTCGATTCTCGTGCTCACAGCTTTAATTTCCGCGAAACAACGTTGGATTTGCACAATCTGTATCGAGAAGTAATCCAGAGAGGGGGATTTTATCAGGTAACTCTTCTATTCAATATAGAGCAAAAGGATTTTAATGTGTGAATAGATTACATTTGCAATGTCGAAAATGTGGGTTTAGAGTCTTGAAGAACATACTTCTGTTGGTTCTTACATGCCCTGTAATGGAAGTTTCTCTCTAAACACTAATCTTCGAGCATATTTTAGAATGTAGTATCGAAACACAGCTCCTCTGAAGCTAATCCATTCTCTTAGGTTACTAAATTTCGGAAATGGGATGACGTTGCATCGGCTAAACACTTGAAAAAAAGCCCGGGAAATATACGAGCAGCTCAACTTCAGAGCATTTACGAAACACTCCTTCTCCAATACGAACTAATGTATTGTCGTCGCGAGATTCGTAAAGAAGCAAACATATGGCCCGAAAAAAGCTCTCTAGGTTTGCGACATTCGAACCTTTCTTTTTTTGCTAGCAAAAATTATTCCTATCTTGTAAAATAAGACGGTATTTAGCAGGTTTTCGGTCGAGCATCAGCCCCGGCAACTCAAGTGGTAAGCGCAAGTATTGCGAAGTTCAATCTGACGATGGAAATCCCGAGCCAATTTCAGGTTTTAATATTTATTTGTAGGTTAAATTGCACAAAATTCAGCTGTGGTCTCATGAAATTGAGTCAAATCCTCCGTACTTACTTCTAAAACTGTGTCAAACTCATCGTTGTTTCATAATCTCTGCATATAACCTCTCGGTGGTCCTTATTTAACGGTATTTGACCTAAATGCGCCAAATTGCGAATAAATTTTAGAATCTCAATTTCTAGAATCTCTATTCTAAAATATATTTAGGTCAAATACCGTTAAATAAGGACCGTCGAGGGTATTAGACGCAAAGTTTATGAAACCATGAGGGAGTTTGACTCGGTTTTAAAGTACGAGATTTGGCAACTTCAGGAAACCTAATTTTGTGCAATTTAGCCTCATTTTTTTTAAAATTTAGATGAATTCATCACTTAAAAAACTACAATCCCCTGTTTTTTGCTCTGTTTGAAGATGCAGGACACAACATAATGCAGAAAAATCCGACGACTATAGTGTCGTCGAGCTCCAGCATTGAAGAATTCATAGAGGCCGATGCCCCAGTGAAGCCGAGGTCCGGATACCAAATCTTTCTTAAGCTTGAAACGAAAAGATTAAAAACAATCCATGGCGAGACTTCCAGCAGCCACAATCTTCGCGAAATGGCGATACAATCTTGGAGGTCTCTTAGTGTGAACGACAAACAGGTAACGATTATTTGGAACAAAAACGATCGAAGACTATATAATTTTTTTATTTTCGGAGTTCGATATTTCGGATTCTTTTGCAGCCGTATATAGAGGCGAGCAAGATGGACCGGGAGCGTTACAAAAAGGAAATGGCTGTATACGAACAGCGACAAAGCCAAAGTTACGGTAGTGAATCGATTCCGAGGATGATAAGCTTCTCGACGCCGGGAGAAACTGATGACGTCTATCACGTCGCCTTAGAACCAGATTCCGATAATATGTTGTCGCCTGATGAGTCGATTGTTGAACTGGCGGTCGATATCATGAAGAACAATGAATCGAATGACTCGATGTTTGAAATCGACTGGGACTACGGCTCCTTGATCTGACTTTTTCGACGTATTCTCGCCGCCGGCCGGAGGTAAGTTTAAGTTCTCCCATTAAAGCTTGTTTTTTGAACCTTATGGAAAAAACACATTGTCTAGTTTGGCCATTTTGTCCCGTAGTCATAGTAGAATCAGACAACGGCCGATGTATGTTATGAATTGTCGTATAAAATGCTTAATGATCTGTGCTTAATTATGTATGCACGTTGTCTACTTTGGCTCTGAGAAGATAAAAGTTTTGAAATTTTAAAAAAATAATAAAAATAAAAATATTTGATTTGATATTTTAATTCAAAAGAAGACTAAATTGTACAAAATCTGATTTCACGAAATTGTGCCAAATTCTCTATACTTCTAAAACTGCATCAAAGTCTCTGCGTCTAATTCTCTCGGCGGTCCTTATTTAACGGTATTTGACTTAAATGCGCCTAAATTGCAAATAAATTTTAAAATCTCAATTTCTAAACCTCTAAAATATACTTAAAAAATAGTTATTTTTATCAGGTTTTAAAAGTTTATTTTTACTATTTTTTGATGCTAAATATAAAAAAAATATATATTTATAATTTTAGGGATTTAGAAACTAAGATTCTAAAATTTATTCACAGTTTGGGCGCATTTAGGTCAAATACTGTTAAATAAACGTAGAGTTTATAAAACCATAAAAAAATTTGACATAATTTTAAAAATATAAAAAATTTGACGCAATTTCGTAAAATCATTAGTGAATTTTGTAAATTTGGTGTAACGTAGCCTTAAAAAAATATATATATATTTCATATTACACAAGAGTGTGTATTGAATGGGAGTAGGTTTTGGTTACAGCCTACAGGACTCATATTTCTCTATCTAACAGTAATATTTAATAATGATAATGATAATGAATTATAGGTTTGCATATGCATGTGCATACATTTATTAAGGTGTATGTCTTTTTAATTGGTGGGATGGGGCCAACTGAACTAATGAATCTACATTTATTTATTTGTGGCCATACTAATAAATTACCTGATGTCACACCTTTGTCTTTGACAGTAACAGCCTATGTATAGGGTTTCAATACGTTGACAAAGAGCTTTTCTAAATTTCGAATATTTGAAATTTTTTGAAACGTTTACAGATTTTAAAAATGAAAAATAATAATAAATACTCTATTTTACTCATATCTATCTTATATATTCGTTTATTATTTGTACGAAGTTTTTAAAATATTAGTATTATATTAAGATGCGGGTAAAAAATTAAATTAATTTTATTAGTATTATATGATATAAAAATAATGACATTTGTATAATATATTGTAAATTTGAAAGATATTTGTAACGTTAGGTAAATAGTAAGGTTATTAAAAAAAATAAAATAAATAAATAGAATGAGACGGACCAAAATAGAAAAATAGATATATAATTAAGGAACGAATGAAGTATTTGATTTAATATTTTGTAAAAAAACTATTTAATTTGATATATATATATATTTTAAAAAATAAAATATCCTTCATAAATTGTATCAAAGCTCTCGGAAACATATTTATAATCGAAATAAGTTTGCTCATCAGCATATCATATTAAATTTTGGTGAGTTTATTTTATTTTTTCATTTATTATTACTACCTACTATGATGTATTTATTTCTTAAAACATTACTTTCAATATTTGATACGCATATTTATATTTACTTTAAAATTTTCAAAATTTAACATAAAATAAAGATCAACACGCAAAAAGTAAATGAAACTTTTAGAGCCGAACGAATGTAGTATTATTTTGTGAAGATAAATAACTAGACTCATTTACACATGTATGCATTCTCAATTAAGTATGCGTATCTATTTATGCAATAATATATTTTGTAACCTCCGCCTCGGATCGTTGAGGCCTTATATGACAAAATCCGGGTGAAGTCAACCGCATCTAGACCCAACTGTGTTGAGCGAAGTCCAGCTCGGTCAAGTGAGGACCAATAACATCGAGAGAGGTCTAGCTGCATCGAGCGAGGTTCAACAGCTTCGAACGAGGTCCAAGAGTGTCGAGAAAAGTCCATACATGTTAAGTAGAAATCTAGAAACGTCGACGACAGTCCAACACATCGAAGAAAGGCCTAATACGTCGTAACCCACAAGTTAGGGGGTGTAGCCTCAACGGCAAACCAAAAAATGATATCCATCGAGCCCACCGGAATTGAACCCAATAAATTACATAAAAGGGAAAACAAGATTGTTGGAGGGGATTGTGGAATAGTTTCCACACAATTTTATCCAAAAGTTATTTGGATAAATCATGATTGGGATAAGATTGATCAATTGAGCAAAAATAGAGAGATTTTGTATTGATAAGATATGGTTGTTAGTTCACAATTTTGGTCCAAAATAAATATGAGCTCTCGCAAGACTGAAAGGACGGTCATTCATTCCCCAAAAAACCTGCATTATTTTTATTTTCTTGTTTTTCTTGTTTTTTTTTAAAAAAAAGAAGAATTCATGTATTATTCCACCACTTCATTCATTCGAGTTCAATAGTTTTTGTTTGATTTATGAATTGATCTTCCCTTAAATTCCTACAATTTTATTCCTTTCGTTCATCCTCAAATTATCGGCGCAAGATTGAGTCCATATACTTTCTTGAGTAGATCGATGAATCCATCACAAAGACTTTCTGACCAACCAAATCCAATCGGCCGTTGAAGTTGATTTTTCAAGCAACAGCAGTGGCACGCTCAGTGGGACACTAAAGATCTCGCTATTCCGCAGTAGTAGACGATCCGACAAAGAAATGATGAACAATGAGCATGATCTTCTCATTCCGGTTCCAAATATTCGGGATAATATTTGAATAGGAGTGCAGTCAATTTTTCACAGATCTAGCATTATTGTTGACAAAGTACTTTCGGATATTCTTGATCCAACGATACGCAACGAGATGGCTCTGTTTCAAGAGGAAGAGAGAAGAAAAATGAAGTCTCCTGACATTGCCTTTGAAATGGAACCTGTGCGTATCAAACAACCATTGGCGGTGGCCAAACCAACAGGTTCTGAAACATTGTGCTTCGGCCAAGTTACGATCCGCCAATGGGACCAGGATGTCTTTGATAGCCAACAATTTACTTCAAAATAGAACGAGGCTCAACGACTTACTACAGAGACATCTAAGATGCCGGGGGCACAGAGCAACCCGTATAGTGGCGACAAAATCCGTTGTACACCCCAACAGGACCTCTACATGGACACAGCCCCACATGCATTTTATCCACCAGTTGTGGCAGCCAACTAGTAGCCACAATCGATTGCAGCAGTATTTACGGTGTTACAGCCTCAATTTATCCTCGAACAAAGCTTGGTTGCCGTTTGGAGCAGTTGGACACCGTAGTCATACCCGACGTTCTTCTTGATGCCCAAAGTGGCACCTACATAGCTTCCAGCCGTCCCGATATCCAAATATGGGATTGGGGGGTAGATTTATAGCCCGATGAGTGCATTCTCACAAAGGACAAAATTGTGTAGGCTTTACAGGCATGGTGATGGATCTAGCTTCAGTGCAATAACCTGTGTTATTTCAATGAGATTTTGTGCGGCGTTGCTGATCCCGTCATCAAGAGATGTGCTCGAGGAAAGTCATCTTTACGACACGCATTGAGGGGCTTTCCAGTAGCCGATATTTCTATAACTGACATAGGCACCCGCTTATTTGATTGCAGAGCCATCAAACGTTGGCTTTTGGATTTCCAGTGGCCCTCCACAACTTCCTCAGGGCTGTAAACTAGTAGAAAAGCCTGTTAATCTCCATCACACTCGCAGAAAAACATTTCGCTTGCCCATACAGACGCACCATTGACGGCTCTTTTCTGACGATATTGTGGGAAATAAACCTCTTTCGAGGGACCAGAAACTCCACAACCCATCAAGATTATTGTCCCAATATTTCTACAGCCACAATTTAATCCAAATTGCAATTTGGCCGCAATCAACAGTATTTGTGCGTTGCCGGCCTACGCCATGGCACCCCGCCGGAAATCCCTCGTACCATATATTGTACAACAAATTTCACAACACCATTACATAGTTGAGGGGAAGACATATCGCATACTCTTGTGGGACTATTGAGTCATGAAGAAGGCTCGAGCTTGTTGCAAATTTTTAAATCCACCTTCAATCGGCTTTTGCGCGGTGTCATCAACCCATTCAACTAAAGACCATTTGAAGGAAGAAAACCCTCATCAATTTTCTCAAGAGGGTGCAGAGTAGCTTTTAACAGTGGAAACCGGCAATTATCATCTATCGGTTGCAACACTGTTGTCTCCACCAGAAAAGAAAATTCAAAAGCCTTCTGCCCCTCGGATGCTTATATTTGAACAACTAGGGCAAACATATCGGCTTTCGAGATACCTTTCGGTTGCAAATAGACTCGCACTTTTCAATACCGTAGCCGAGTCATTTTAGAAAAGAACAGTAAGGTGTGGAAAGTCATAATCGTTGACCAAGTTGTTATTAGACCTTATTTGACTCTCCGGCCTTAGAATGTGCCAAATGATGACAATTGGGCAGCAAATCAAGCTCTCGAGAAGTCAAATCTACCATCTTGATCACAAAATAAATGTCCTAAACTTGATGACAAGCTCGAAAGCAAGAAAAGGTGAGCGATCGAAGGGGAGGAACAACATCCAAAGCTTAATCAAAGTCTTCAACACATCTCAAGGCATCACCAAATAATTTTCGACACCGAAGAAACAACCAAAACGAGTGGCGACCAAAGAAGGACCTGGAAGTAAGCATATTGCACTCATGGAGCAACTCTTACTCAAGGGAAAGCTTGCCCGTATAGAGTGGCTCGACCATAGCGAGTAGCTTGCTAGTAGAGAATGGCTTGACCGCAGCAAGTTGCTCGCCAACAGAAAACAGTTCGACCGCAAAGAGCAAATCGCTTACAAAAAGAAGCTATCCTGCATGCAGTGAGCAGCTTGTCCATGTGGAGCAGCACAAACACAGGGATTAGCTCATACACGAAGAGTAGCTCGCTTACAGAGAATGAAGAGCGTGCACTCAAAGATGATGAGCTGTCCGAAGTTAGCCTCAACATCATTGCGTGCAATCAAGATTTGGTGCGAACCTTGAAATATTTTTAAAGGATTTTACGGTCATTATGATCGGTTATTATCAAATCCCTAATCTCTCGCGACTATTCGCAACT